AGATGAAAATTTTAAAATCTAACATCAATGGAGAAATTGACTATTTAACATCCATTATAGGAAAGAGGAAAAAAAATACAAAATACAAAAAGATTGCTGGAATCAATGGGGTGCCATTCAAAATTGGCATCATGAGATTATACCTAGTTCGTATATTCATAGATGATGATATTTGGTTTACTTTAACAAGGAAGAATTGTTACCTAACCAAAAAAAAAAAAAAAAAAAAAAAAATCCAAGAGCAACATAGAGTTACAACTATTTGGGTTCATATCAAATTTTCTCTCTTAATAAAATAATATGATATTAACCATTGATTTAGGGCACACTTCACAATTTAATTACATGATCCAAACTATCATTTTTCGTGTCCCGATAGACCATCCTTACCAACATTCACTTATGACCAAAATTGTTACACCAATTTGATTATTTTCATATGATTTATTCCAGTAATCATTTGTTTAATTACCGTTAGATGATTTTTTTTTATTTGAGTGGAACCTATGCGGGAATAATTTGAAAATGCTCAAGTTTAATTAGAGAAAAATATTATATAGTAAGTATCATATTAACTTGAACGGATTATAAGGTTTTTTTTATTTTTTTTATTAAAGGGGATAACTAGTGGCAAATCACGGTTATCCACTACTTTAGGGCCCGGAGAGGCTATGGGGAATTTCACCTTGCCGGTGATCACATTCAAGCCGACGCACCAGCTCGGAACATCAAACCCGGTACCTCTCACTTTTTTTTGTTTATTGGAGAGCCGTAGTTCGCGCCCTTACTACTAGACCACGTGTTGTGATTATAAGTCTGTGTTAACGTAAAAGGATAAAAAAGTATAGACAATCCAGAAGAAGTGTCATGTAATAGTAACCCTTTTTTGTTTCCATTGACCGATTATTGAAATGGATTTAAAAAAAATATATGAATAAAGGAATGAAGACCGACCAAAATGAAAGGAAGAATGGATTATACAAATAAGAGAAATTTTAGAATGTCAAGAGCACGGTCTAGAATACTAAATGTAATAAAAGAAATTTAATATATTTCCCGAAAAAATTTCTGTATATAATCTGGGGCACATAGATAATTTATGCAGAGAGTGGAAACACTCATCGGCCAATGGTTTCTGCTTCCGTAATAAGTGAGTTCATGGTTTCACTGTACACTTCACACGAAAAGAGGACAAAGCAGTTTGAACAAAAATGGTTTATCCAAAGAGGTTTGAGAGTTTGATGGTTTTGTAGTTTTATTGTGGTTGGCTGGATTTAATTAGGAAAGTACGTACTAGTGTCACATGCCACTACTATTTTTTTTTTTTTAAATAGACAACGGGTGGCAAATTACAATTATCCATCTCTTTCGAAGACGTTTGAGAGTTTGATGATTTTGTTGTTTTACTGTGGTTGGCTGGATTTAATGAGGAAAGTACGTACTAGTGTTACATGCCACTACTATCTTTAAAAAAATAAAATAATAGACAACTGGTGTCAAGCCACAGTTATCTATCTCTTTCAGAAGAAGACTTACAAGGCATTTCAGCCTCTCCTTGTCCACAATCAAGTAGACTCACTAGCTTGGAACCTCGAACCCGAAACCTCCTTGTTTTTTTTTTTTTTTTTTTTTTTTGGTATTTTAAGAGCTAAAATCCGTGTTCTTACCACTGAGCCACTTGCTATTCACATGCCACTACCATCTACTACAACTATTTTATGAACAAAATCACATCGCGTTGCCCTCGTTATATAATAAACAATAAAAGGAGAATAATTTTTTCTTTAATTAAGCAACAAATTAAAGCAGATTAATTCATATAATATTTTTACAAAAGTCCAGGGTCTAATTTTATATGTAATTACAAAAAAAAATTAAGAGATTAATATAAAGTGAAAATGGTTGGACTTTAGTAACTTGTAAATATTAGGTAATGTGATTTCAAAGTAGGTATGAGATCAACTATGGCTAGACCTAAACAGCTAATAAATCACACATTTTTTTAACATAAAAAAAAATCACATATTGAACTACAAAAAAAATCCTATGTATTAAATTTCCTTACACACAGAAAAATCTGGTTTTTAGGTCTTTTTTCTTTTTCTCATTTCACAATTTTAAATTGAATTTTAATGTTGTGGGATTAAGTTTCAAATATAGTCCTAAATTTAACCGAAAAATAGACAATGTTAGTGAAAATAACCAATGGTACAATACATTGTTAAGTATGAGAAAGAAAAAATAATAATATGAGAATTCATAAACTAAATCAATCTTAAAGTAAAATTCAACGATCATTGCTACAATAAGCCAGAAGACTCACTCAACTCTCTAGAATTTAGGAGTCTCACAAAACATTGAATTAATTGGATGAATGACAAAATGAGATGTACCCTTTGTATAAATGTAGAAGTGATTATTTATAAAAGTTGTGTATTTACTTGAAAAGTGGACGTATGTATCTCTTTATACTAAAGACAAAAGTGTCACCAATACCACTGTATTACAATTTACATGTATTTTTTTTTCACTTTTAAGTAAAATGTGTTAATTTCTATTTTCGTTAATGACAAGTTCTATAAGACATTATTACCAACTCATTGTAGAGTTCAAAACTTCTGCACTAATGGCCTCTCTGTGACTTATCTCATTTGTTGACACCTAATTATTCATTAAAAATTAAAGATATTAAGTCAAAACGACATGTGTCACTCAAGTAAACAAGTTATAGAGAGGCAACAAAAAAAATTTGAGCGCAGGAGATTTGAACTCCTCATTGTGTGACTTTAAAGGCTTGTTTGGTGAGCTATATGAGATTGAATCTTAGGAAATAAAATTGGATTAGCAAGGATTGGTTAGACTTTGTAAGACGTGACTTGTAACTCATGTATAAAGATACGTTATATAAGTCACTCCATTGTGAATTCCTAACTCATCCAGTCCAACTTACATTTTGACACAACAAACAATAAGTTAAACTCACGTTCATTTTAATTAGTCACAACTTATCTCAACCAGTCTACTAAACTAGCCCTAAACATATGAATCATAAAGACGAAAGTTGTATCATTTCATTTGAAGTTAAACATACACAACCTTTTATTCTCATTACAAAGTCCGAACCATCAAACTCTATTTCCAGTTAAATAAAGGTAGTGTTATCCACACATTCATTTTTACTTTTCACACTCTTTTTAATTTTCAGCTGTTTAATCAAACAAATTAAAGAAGATTAATGTTAAAAAATTAACAAGAATATACTGAAAGTAAAATTGAGTGTGAATAACGCTATCCTAAATAAATATATATTCGTAAATAAATTAAAATTTCAATATATTAGTGGCATGGACATGGTTAGGCATGGTGTACAACACGTCCGCATGTGCTGGACATGGATTAGTCAATGCCGCTTGAAAGTGAAGCAATTAAAAAACTCCCTTTTAAGACTTTAAGTAATGTGGTTGGTTGGAGTTTGATCTCGGTTTTCTTGACAATTTATAAATTCATGCACGCCCTTATTTTTATACAACCATGCATCAATACTATATAGCTGATTTTATTTAGTGAGATAATACTTTGTTGTTATTGTTGGATGTATCAATACTAATGGAGTGGAAGAATAAATTGATTGCGAACTCATCATTATCAAGATTCGAACCTAAGATATCTTACTTGCAAATTTAGAAGAATACCACTAGATCGTAGTACTAGAGTTGCACGGGACCATTGAGGGGAGAGCGGGGGTAAAGTTGATGAAGGGCTACGGGGCACATGCCCCTTCTCATTTTTTTGTTAAAAAAATATACACTTAGTATTACGGTCTAGTGTATTCCTCTTCACTTGTAAGAGGGAGATCTTAGGTTTGATTTTAGCCAAATGAGAATTCGAACCTAATTATTATGGCTAGCCCATGGTAAGGCTTAGCTCACTCTCTCTCCCCTTAGTGTAGATAATATTGTATGTTTTTAAAATATACATTTAGTTTTAAGCAATTTGTTAAAACTATCTTCAAAATCTCTCCTTTTCAATTCTTTTATCGTGAAATAGGCGAGTTCAACAAAAACTAGACAACATCGACATCTCTGCAGTGCAACTCTATCACTCAATCCATATCCAACACCATCAACAAAAAATATGTCTGTTTTTAGCGAAACGACACTGATTTTAGTAAAGTTTAAAGCTAGTCATGTTTTCTCAAAATAAGAAAAGCCCATTAACCCTCCCTCCTCCCAATCATCTTCTAGATTTTACCTCTCTGCCCATGTGTACATGTATTGACCTATCGACAAAATTAAAATGGCACTAAAGGGCAGGGATGTACACTAAACACACAATGGTATGGGTCACCCAAGTGGTTGCCGAAATGCCTCATCGAAAACGTTGGAAAATTTTAATTTTTTTTTTTTACATTTCCGCCACTACATAATTAGTTATGCTCCAAGTGAACTAACTTTCTAGCTCCACTCCTAGTACAACCCACCTGAGCCCCAAAATAGAATGTCATATACAATCGTCTCATTGTGTGGCATAGCGCAACCTCCTCCAAGTAAAATATTGCTTAATACAAAAAGAAAAAATCACTAAAATTCATGATTCTATACTTAATAACAAACATCTCAAAGGTTATTCAAGACCAACTCAACTAGATCGAAATGTTGCACTCCTCGACCCGGCCCCAAAATAAGCTGGGAAAGAAGTGGTCCGGAATCTGCTTGGCTGCAAAAGAACTGAAATATTGTTCCCGAATCTGTTTCTTTATCGTTTCTGAGGTGTTATTGTCGCTCTAAAATAAAATAATAATAAAACAGAGAGTGCCACCACCAAGAATAATACCTGGTTGAACTGAAAGATATCTCTGATGCTTAAAAATCATGCCACTACCAATAATTCCATCTTTTATCTTTCAAAAAGACTTTGATTACAACGAATTCAAAAAACAACCTTTCAAATATGCCACCTTATCTTTCAAATATATATATATATATATATTTATATAAACATACACCAAAGAGGGAATCCATTATATACAAAAGTGAAATACATACTCCACACCTCACCAACCAAAATGCACAATGAGTCAAAGAGTACCATGTACCTTGCCTTCCTAAGTGCTTAAAAAATGAGGAGAAAAGAAACATTTTGAAATGGAATTAAGGTTCCGTTCTCTCGTACCTAACATCCAACGGTGACGTGCTGTTTTTCTTCTCCGAAGAGCTTGTTTCATATATACTGCCATCTTCAGAATCTGATTCATTTATTGATAACGTTGTGATCTTCAGAATCTGATTCGTTTATTGATAGGTTGTCATCTTCAGAATCCTCACATTCTGATAGCTCTGAGATTGAGGAACCTGTGTCTATCTCTGAAAGACTCGCGGAAAAGAAATCACTTGTGGAATCTACCTTTTGCTTTTCAAGTTCCCCTGATTCCTTGGTCTCTTTTGTTGGACTATCCAAGATTGAAATGGGATTTCTGTCATTTGGGTCACCATAAAGCGCAATATGTCTGTAATACAGCTCCAGTTCCTTCTCAGCAACAGCAATGAAGTGCCGCACAGTCTCGAGGGATTGCTCGTACTTAAACTTTTCCAGTGCCTGTAAACAGGGAAAACAGACTCAATATTGAGAGTTCATCACTCAAGTTTCAAGCTCCATTACAAGATGAGACGTTCGTAAAGCAACAAGAATATAAAATTGAACTACCCTCTGCTTGTCAAAACTGCTGAACAAAATAATTATTTTCCTTACTCGAGGATAACTTTTTGTTAAAGTACCTTAAATCAAGTTTTCCAGTGAAATGTTTTATGGTTGAACTATAAAGTTTCCGTGAACTTGGTTCATGCTAGATCAGAGAGTTGATCTGGACAAGGTAATCAACAGGCCCAGCCATGGGACCAATAAACAGGCCAGGCAAGGCCACAGCCATACCTGCAGGCCGTGAGCCGACAAGCCTCTAGCTGGAGTTAAGTTATGTTCATTTCCATAAATTATTAAGAACAAAAATTAATGAAGGATATGCTGAAATGACCAGAATTAAGTTAATTGAAACTTGACCCCAATGAGCGGATAAAAAAGAAAGAAAGAGAGAAATAGATGCGGAAATGACTGCCATAGGCACTTGTCTGTCGACTAGATACTCTTTCCAAAGGTACTTGATTGACAACAAAACAATTACGGAAATGGAAGATGTGAAAGTGCAATACCTAGCAAAAACAGACCACACCTCACATTTCAAACTAATACGGAAAATGCTATAAAGTTGAGTTTAAAATAATAAACAGTTACACCAGAGAGAGAAGAAACTGAATAGATGAAGCTTGAAAAATCACCTTTTTCTTGGACAAAGTATTTGTGGGTGACATAACTTTTGGCATGACGTAGTTCTTTCCTCGATAGAATACTATGGTGTCATCTCCAACTATTTGAATTGGGATCCCGCCACTCAGTCTAGCAATTTCCTGGGCATATTCATGTACTTGGCCAGGTTTACATGGCTTGCAAATCACCTTGACGGTTTCATGTTTTTTCCAATGCATATGCATGTTAAGAATAACGCCCCCGAAAATTCCTCGTTTTCCAATTGGTGCATAATTAGACTTCTTTTGAGCCATTTTCTTCATATAAAACCGCTCCTCACCTGTCAGGTCATCTGGTTGTACCTCAGGACCCTGGACTTTTGGAATTTCATACCTCTTAAGTCTTTCAATCAGCAAAGCTTCCTTTATTCTAGCCTGAATAGAAAGAAAAAAAGTCACGAAAATTAAAGACTACGATCGTTGTACCCAGTGCACAAGGCTCCCGCTTTACGCAGGGTCTGGGAGAGTGATAAAAAAAAATTCCTATCTTTAAAAGACTTGCGCTATCAAAAGATTTTTTAAAACAAATGAAAAGACAAACTGGTCATGAGGGGCAGTAGTGTTTGAAAGTATTTCAATTTTGTTTTAAAAGTACTAAAATGACCTAAGCCTCACCAAATATTGGAAACCAATTACAAATTCTTGACTAGTGCACAGAAAAAGGTGGAAACTATATGAGGCCTCCTCATATTGGGAGGGAAAAAAGGGAAAGCGAATCGAACATTAAAATAAATAAAAAACGATCATAGGTCATCATAATTGTGCAAGTTCCTAAATATTTCAGTCTAAAGGAAATAGCTTTTGAATGAAAAGAGGCACATAACTGCAGAAATGAGAGAATTACTGTAAACTAACACCTTCCCTGACACAATTGGTTTAAATTTAAAAATTAAACCTTTGTTTAAATACAAAAATAGATTCAGGGGAGGGTAAAAAGTCAGACTTTTCCCAAGGGTGTGGCCTAATTTGGAGTTATAAACACCTTTAGATGTTAAAAAATTTAACGGCATCCCAACCCCTAAGAAATATATTTTCAACAAATGTGTTTCCTTCTAAAAAAATTATACTTGACAAATAGCTTGGTTCCGAACACAGCACTCTTATTTTCCTTTTTCTTTTTCCAGTTCCAGCAAAATTTTCAAATATGCAAAAGCATAAATTTCAATTTAAGAAACTAAGGCATGCAACAGTCAATTGAAACTCTTTTTCTTTTCCAGTTTTTTTTATAATTTTTTTTGGAACCTTAATAGCTTTGACTTTAATCAGAGTTTGTTGCAAGACTTTGTCCTGAGACAATATTTCTTAAGCAAAGTACTTGGTCTGCAAGGAAGAGCATTGCTTAACTCTAAGAATCAAGAAAAGCCGCAGTATGCATTTACCCTTTTATTGAAGAGAAAAAATTATATAGTTTAGACTAATATTAGTTCAGATATAATATAAAGTGCCACAAGCTTATCTGGCTTTTAAAGGACATAAGACATACTATAAGCGCATAAAGAACTAGGAATACCAGAAAACAAAATTTCAACTCATTTCCAAGTCAAATCTCTACTTGGTGAAAATCCACCTTGGAGAACAAACTAGAACTAACCACTCTATCTGATGTTCTCAAGCCTATGAATGGCCGAATTGGAAACCTATAGTTGACTTTTATCTATTTAATTAACACAGATTTTCCGCAAAGTCCTTCAAAAGTTTTCAGAGCAGAAATTGCAGAAGGACCACAACTATGACCAATTGGAAAAAGACCTTCTACTTGCCAATTCAACTTGCAATGATCCTTAGGGTTCACTTATAATGTGAAAGATGAGGAAATTATGATAAGATCTAGGGACAAAACTAATGGCATGATGAACATGTCCCATGGATGGTAACTCACCTTTTGGGAATCAAGTCATGAACCTCATCTAGTAAATAATTATTCGCAGGGTCACAGGTGGTTGGTAGGAACCCGAATAGACTCTAAATAAAACAAGTACTATCACTCTAATTCATACCTCTTTTAAAAACTTCCATTGGAACAAATATGATTTATACTTGCTGGGATAGAGAGGAAGTGGAACCGCACTTAGGATTACGACTTTCTACATGTTGGCAAGCCTTAAGATAATAATCGCTGCTTAAGCATAAAGCTGTAGTTATTATCCGTACAATGTCTCTCTGAATCATGATCACAAAGCCAAGGAAGTGGTAAAATCCATAGTAAAGACATCACAACCAGAATAGTCCAATTCAGCTCACCTTTTCAAGCTTGTACTTGATTCTCCCCTCAGCATTAGCAAACTTCTGCCCTTTCTTTTTCCTCTGAATGCCGAGCCGACGTGGATCCTTCCTATTGGCGGCTCTTCTCTCCTGCTTTTCTCTCATTCTCTGTTGCTTCAACCTCTTCTTGGTCAACCACTTCTCCTTTTTTGGTGGATCGATTTCGTGCATCTCGAACTTGGGTTTCCCCTGTGATATCACCAAATTCACCGACCCATGGCTCAAGTTTCTGAAAACCCATGATGGGTTTAGAGGATTTGGCAGAGGCAAGTGTTTGGTTGCAATGAAAATTGGTTCTTGGGTTGGAAAACCTGACCTGAATGACAGAAAATGTGGCAGGAAAATGGTGAACCCACATCAATATTCCACAATCCAGAATCATCATTATATTGAATAACAAATTTAAGAGTTCAGTGGGATTATACTATTGGCAGGACAGAATTGAAATTCTTGAAAACCCATTAACATTTTCTCATAATTCAATTAAACGGTTTAACGGGTTGTGTTTGGATGCAGAGAAAATTGATGTTAAGGATAGCGGCAACAACCAAACAACCATATAAAATGTATTGCAGAGAGAGAGAGAGAGAGAGAGAGAGAGAGAGAGAGAGAGAACCTTAGAGAGTGGGGTTTGGAAGGCGATTTGAGAACCGAAGAAGCTCTGCGAACAGCAGCCGAAAACACAGCTCTTGCCATTTTACTGACAAATTGCCAGTGAGAGTGGGAGTGCAGAAGATTAAGGTTGCACGGTCTGCAACCGAACCGGGTTCAAACCGCTTTGGACCGGACGGCTTACCATACGAGCTGCGATTCTGCAGGCCAAAGGTCCACCCAGAGAACCACGTGTCGAAACCACAGGAGTTTAAAGTTGAATGTTGACTTTTATATCTTTCTCTATCCAATCCGATTTTGACACGTCATATTGAATTGAGCCCCATATTTACAACCTGAACCCTCTCGCCTTCCTCGCTCTCTCTCTCTCTCTCTCTCTCTCTGTGGCGTCGAGACTCAGAAACCAGGCGTTTCCATGTCCTTCACGATCAACTAACGGAAGGGTTCCGCGAATTTACAGTAAGTCTCTTATTTTTTTAATTTAATTTGATCTAAAAATTGTAAAAGTTTCTTCCTTTTTGTTTAATTTATTTTAGGGTTTTTAATTTTTGATTAGTTTTCCGTTTGGTTGCTGAGAAAATGTCGAGAATATGAATGGTAGTGAGAAAAGATTTTAGATTCTGGATTGTTTTGCGTTGTTTTAATTAGCTATGGAATTAATTAGTGTTTGAATATTTGTATGTGAAAGTAAATATGCGTTTTGGGGAAAATTAGAGCACTGACTTTGTGGGAAGAGAGGAGAAGAAGTTTAATATTCAAATGCCACTAATCAATGGTTTGGACCATATTGATTAACTTAATCTTGTTCAAAGAACTTTGTTCGGTTGCTAATTGGTTCGGTTAATTTTGTGTTTTTTGCTTTTAGGTGGCCAAATTGGCATAGAAAAGAAGATTGGGGATAATACTTTATTTTTCTCTTTTTTTGTTTTAGAAATCAACCAAAGAATTGGGGTTTATCTTGGATGAGTTTTCGGTATAGGGTAAGTTTGACAAGAGTTCAAAAACACAAGTGGAGGAAATTTAGCTTAATAGTATTGGTAATGAGGAACTCGTAACTTTAGGAGTTATTTTCATGTCCTCATACTCACTCTTGGGAAATAATCAACAGTCATGTGTTAGCTCAAACCGGATCTCTACTTTTAGTTTGTACTTGCGGAATCCCTCATGGTAAGAATGAACCTTCCTCAGATTTGAAACTGCACTCTGATTGTTCCACAAATTTAAACCGCCCAAGTCTCAAACAGTTATTATCGTGTTGTTTTCTGAAGTTATTGTTGTTATCTGAACAGAAGATTCTGAACTGTCTTCAGACTTTTTTTGTTATATTTTGGAATCAATAAGTCTTTCCAAATATTTGTCTGCTGACAGTCATTTTTTATGCTGACCATCAATTGTGTGGCGAAACTTATTGGAAAAAATTCTTCTTATTGCAGTGGAATTTGCACTTGATGGTGATGTTGATGGCGAGGTGGTGGGGAGTTCTGCTGAGATGGAACTTAGTAGAGCAGCTGATGAAAATGAAACCGGCGGTAGTTCTGTTGAAGGGGCATTCCAGTTGGGCCTGGATGATAAAATAAATGTAGATTCTCCCGGAGGGGATATAATTCCAGAAGCAGTTCCTGTAGTATCGGTGGTTTCCGCAGATGAGCCATATGTTGGTCAAGAGTTTGAAACTGAAGCAGCTGCTCATGCATTTTATAATGCATATGCCACACATGTGGGATTCATAATTCGTGTAAGCAAGCTCTCTCGATCAAGGCGCGATGGATCTGCCATTGGTCGTGCACTTGTTTGTAACAAAGAGGGTTATAGAATGCCTGACAAACGTGAAAAAATTGTAAGGCAAAGAGCCGAGACCAGGGTTGGTTGCAGAGCAATGATTTTGGTGAGGAAAGTAACTTCTGGGAAATGGGTTGTCACAAAATTTGTAAAGGAGCACACTCATCCTTTGACACCTGGGAAAGGTCGAAGGGATTGCATTTATGATCAATATCCGGTTAGTTGTTTTTCTCCTTTTTTGACCATTAGTGTTTGGCTTTTTCCATTGTTAAATTTTCTTATCCCTTGCAAAGTTCTGAAGTTTGTTAATAGTAATAGGTCTTTTACAAATAATGGGGGGTGGTATATTACAATCTGTATTCATGAATATCTTCTTTTCTATTACCATGGGAGTAGAGTAAATGGCTATCACTATGTTTGGGATTTGAAGTAGAGTAAATAGTGTAATCATATTCAGTATCCGGTTAGGCACATTTTAGCAACTCACTCTGTACTGTATGATATCAGATGCTAGGTAATGAAGTTAGTAATGATTGAATTTTACAAATATGGAGGCTACAATGGCTAGAAGTTGGCCAAAAGTAATGTGAGTGGGAGATGTCAAAAGCAAAGGCAGGATTTAAAAAAAAAAAAAAAAAAAAAAAGGTGGTTTCGTAATAGATCGGACTCAAATCTTGAAAACTCTGGCTTTTTGGTTTGATGTTCATCTGAAACAGTTTTTAGTCTCCCTTCCTTTTTTGATGAAATGTTATTCACATAGTATTTAATGTTAGGCAAGTGACTGTTGAATTCTTTTGCTGTTTGGGCTTTTTTTGACATGCGGCAGCTAGTGTCTATACACACTACAGTAGCCTAAAATCAGACGTGGTTGTAGAATTTTTGGAATGTAGTTCTTTAATACTTCCTTGAGGGCGAGCCTTGGCACAACAGAAAGGTTGCTCCTTTGTGATGGAAAGGTCAAAGTTCGAGTTGTGGAAACAACCTCTTTTCAAAAGCAATGATAAGGCTGTGTACGATAGACATCCATTTCCGCAATGGTGGTGATTTTGTTTCTCCAACATGCCATTCGATCCTTGTGTGTAAATGTCTTTGAGTCCTAAGCTCATCGTTGTCCATTTCCACAATGAGTACTCGAGATGATTTGCAATTGCTTTCTAGAATGTAATTATGCTATATCATTGTTGCTTCTGTCCGCCATGCTTTCATGTGTAGGTTATGGCTTTCGGTTTTCATTGTTGTCTCCTGTGTTGTATTCGAGTCCTAAGCTCATAGTTGTCCATTTCCACAATGAGTACTTGAGATGATTTGCACTTGCTTTCTAGGATGTTTAATATGTTATATTATTGTTGTTTCTGTCCGCCATGCTTGCATGTGTAGGTTATGGCTTTTGGTTTTCGCTGTTTCCTCCTGTGTTGTATGGTGAAAAGTGAAAACCATGCAGTTTTTTTTAGTTACCATGGTTAGCAGCTAGATCATTAAAACAAGGTTCTAGCCTATTAAAGTATTGTAGTTGAAACATAAACATTTCCTAGTTTGCGGTTTTGTGCACGCGAAGAATGGACTATGTATGCTTTTCACAAACGAATACATTACATGTGGGAGTTATGTTCTTTCTCCACAGACTTACTTGCGACTAATCCAGACATTGAAATGGATTGATGCTGAAAATCATGACGAGAAAATGGAGATGCTATTGTTGGGAAAATTTTAATTGGGTTTGAATTTGTGAATCATAATAATACAGCTTGACGTGTATTTTAATTACCTTTTGTTTTCTCGTTCAGAATGAGCATGACAAGATTCGGGAATTATCTCAGCAGTTGGCCATAGAGAAAAAGCGTGCTGTGACCTATAAAAGACATCTGGAACTAATTTTTGAGCACATTGAAGAACACAACGAGAGCCTATCAAAAAAGATCCAACACATAGTAGACAGTGTGAAGGAGATTGAAGGCAAAGAACTGCAAGGACACAGATAAGGATTTCTGCAACTTAAGCACTTTCTCGTTTGGTAAAACATAGAATCAAGCAATGTCGTGGACAATTCTGTAGGATGAATCATTCGGTCATTGTTTTGATTTTAGTGTTAGGGGTTCGCCTGGATTTTAGGAAGCTAGTTAGTTTCTAACCTTCTATAGCTTTGTGATGTTTTAGTCACTGGCATTCATTGGACTGCCTTGCGTAAATTTCTCGTCTGCATCAAATAGTCAGTAGGGAAAATGTGATTGAGTCCATGTACAGTTTTACCTGAGCCATCCATGTGAATTGTGCTTATAAAGCAGATTATAGGACGTCCGAAGGAAGTTGGAATCGGACCATCGCTTACACGTGAAATTTGCTATGAGGTCTGTTTTGTATAGCTTCAGAACACTGTTTCCAATCTTCCTTTTAAATACAACTCTTGAGAATTACCCTTTGCTGATGGTTGTGGTTTTCGTATACTTGTATTAAGACACTTAACGTACCAGACTGTGTTTTCGGCATATTGAAAATTTTTGCTGGAGAGGGGATTTTCCAAAACTCTGTACGATAAAACCACTTATAAGTTTCAGTTATTTATCAGGAGTTGTTCGTTACAATTGAAGTGAATCGAACTCTTGATCCAACCTTGTCACTAGCAATACGGTCTAACGGTATTTTTTAGATGGCAGCTTCCATTTTCGACTCACTTGGATGACTAGTTGCGTACATAATTTTTTGGTCAGAGAGTTGTATGAGGACCATGCATCGTCCATGTGCTCTCAACAGGGTGGAAGCCATGATTGAATTCTTATTACTCTCGTGAAATATGGTGTGAATGTCACACATATGTCGCGAAATATGATGTGAATACTACACATGAATGCATAAAGAAGCAAATCAACATGCAGCTAAAGTGAATTTTAGCTATACCAATTAAAGCGTTTGGGTAGAGTAAGTACTGGTTTTGGTACTGAAGTGCTTTTATAAAAAGGGTTTAGGGTTTTTTTTTTATAAAAAGTGGGTATAAAAAAAAATTAAGCTCAAAAAGGTGTTTGGTAAATACTTAAAAATAACTTATTTTCACAATATTGGGTGAAAAAAAAGCTAAAAACATAAAGCAGCAAAAATAAGCTTATTCTCACATCACAACAAAAACAGTTTTTTTTTCAAAGCACAGTAATACCAAGCCGGCGTCTTAGAAAGATGAAATAGTGAAATGGATGAAGACCTTCATTCAGGCCATTTATTTTCTACGGGTGTCAGGCTCCTCTATATAAATGGAACTTTGTAATGTAAAGATCATCTATCCATCTCAAGTAAACAATTAGTGCCAACTTACTCTTTCCCTTGCAGGACAAAAGAAGAAAAGCATCAAGATAATACTACTTTATTTCACATCTCATATTCTACGTCTATTTCACTTATTTGACACTAATAAAGATAATAAACAGTATGATACATTGCTCATGTTCCGCTTCAGAAGTTCTCTCTTTTGTCTATTTGTAACAATTACAATATTTTCTATCTTTTCTGCATTTTAAAGTAAGAATCCAAGTGACTTGGGTGATTACTATACCCCAAAAAATATGATTACAAGAATTATTTACATTGATATGGAATGTCACATGACGGTCGTGCCATGAAATATAAATAAATAGATAAAAATTTATACATTTTTATTTTATTATGTTATCGACATGGAAGTCATTTCTCTAAAATTACACCAACAAACTATGCCAAATTGTCAATTGTCATAACCATTAAGTAATTAATGCGGTTGGATTCTTTTGCTCAACCACTATACATTACAAAAAGAAAAATTGCAAAAATAATTTTTGCATGTTTTCAATTTTTTTAGTAGAGCAGTAATATTAGTAAATTAAATGTTATTTTAGCTAAAATGATCTATGAGATTATCATAACTTTATATTTTGGTCATTCAAATTTAAAATTGATATAAGTGGTATGTGAGATTGTCCACTGTCAATTGTTTTGGTTTTCTGTGAAAAATCTCTGTTAAATTGAAGAAACACCAGTTTAAGGGGGATTTTGCTCATTCTGTTAAAAATCTTCCTTAAATTAGAGAAACTACTAGTTCAAAAGAAGGGGTTGATTTAACAAATATTCTCAATTTAACATGAATTTCGCACATAATAATTGACGATAAACAATCTCATACACCACTCACTTTTATTAATTTGAAATCTCACAAATCAAAGTCAGAATTTGGATAAAAAAGCTTGAATTAAATAATTTGTTATTAGAAAGAAAAGGGGTGAAGATTTCCCAAAAGGATTCGGAGAGGATTCTTTTGATGAAGATTTTAAAAATTTATGAATCGTGTCTATTTATCATACATTATATAATCAATTTTTATTCAATACTATTTGTGTTTAATTTTAAATAAAAATATTTAAAATAATTCCTTACGAATCTTCGGGGATCCGGATTCAGAGATTTCAGCCGGTAAAGCGCCACGTGCATTTTATTTTAAAGTGTCTGCCTTCGAGTTTTCATCTGACGTGGTCTATCTTCCTCAAAGGAAAAGAAACGATTTGAAGCATTTAAGACTCCACGGAGTTCTCACTCCCGACCGGAAAACGAAGATCTACTTAGCTTGCGCGAATCAAGTAAGTGCTCCGTTCCTATCGACATTTCAACGAATACCCATTTCTTCTGCCTCGCCCTTCGTCGAAACCCTCCATTTATTTTGGCCTCTTATCCCCACTTTGTTCCCATTTCAGTCATGCAAGTTCATACCCCAGGACTCTGAATCTGGAGCAACTTTGCTTAAATTTGATCGGTTTAAATTGTTTGGGTTTCTGTGTCTCTGTACTTCGTAATTCGGATACTATTTTTTGCATTTTTTTTGGCACTGGGATTGAAGAGTGTTAGCTTAGCTGCCTGCTGTTGTTCACTGTTAAATGGGTAAAATCTGTAGTTCTCTGTTATCTCTTTTCTATAGGGTGTGGTGGGATTTATTTAGTTTACAGTGACTTTGTCAATTTGATTTGTTGTGAAATTATGCAGTAAATTGTATTTTGGGTGTTTTTTTATGTTGCTCACCACCTGTTTGATAAAATAAGAAACGTATATTTTACTTGCCTATGATTATTGAATACCAGAAAATGAAGATGCTTTTTTGCGCGTAGTTGGGTAATATTTTGGGTTTTTTTTCGCAGAATCATATTAACCTTAGATGGGAAAGCTAAATTTTTTCCCATTTCATTATATTGCCTGTTCTACCAGCCCAAAAGATAATATTGTTATGATTTTGTTAGAGCTGAGAAGATATTTAACAGGCAATGTATTGCAGTGGATTCGGATGGGGATATAGCATTGGAGAGTTCTGACGCGCAGGAACTGATTGCATATGACGACGATTCCATTGTAGAACCATATGAGGGTATGGAATTCGAATCTGAAGATGCTGCCAAGATATTTTATGATGAGTATGCACGGCATGTTGGATTTGTCATGCGTGTGATGTCATGTCGTCGGTCTGAAAGAGATGGTAGGATTCTTGCTCGTCGACTTGGGTGTAATAAGGAGGGACACTGTGTTAGTATTCGAGGTAAATTTGGGCCGGTTCGAAAACCACGAGCAAGTACAAGGGAAGGTTGCAAGGCAATGATTCACGTAAAGTATGATAAATCCAGTAAATGGGTGATTACAAAATTCATAAAGGATCATAATCATCCACTAGTGGTGTCCCCACGTGAAGCTCGTCAAACCTTGGTGAGTATCTTTCTCATTTTGTTGACATTCTCGTATAAATAGTTGAACTTTCAGTGTCTTCAAATCATTGATTTGCCAGGTGATGTATATTTTAAGATGTAAGATTTAGACTTTATACTCCTTTAAAAAACAGTTCTTGTATATTATATCCATAGTGTACTTTCAGAAAAAAGGAAAACCATATACGTACTCCTGTTTGGGGTTAGTGCTGCTTTGTTGGTTCTTAAAGTCTAACTTGTATTGCTTTTTAAGAAGACTAGTAGCAGTACCAAAAAATTGTTTTTATGTATCATGAATTTCTAGTAAATTTTTTTTAATGCCTTGCTCAAAGCATATATGTAATTAGAAACGAACAGTTCTTTTTAAAACATGAAGATCCTTACTGACATTGAGAAAGTGAATCTAGGATTCTGCATAATCAGCAGAATTGGTTTATTTCATTTTATTTTATGTTTTATAAGACCATCTTGATGGAGGTGAAAATTTATTCAGGCAGCTCTACCGGCTGTGTACAGAAAAGCAAGTCATAGATACAGTTCAGGACTAGGTCCTTTGTGTATTACCTTCGGAAACAATTATGGATGTTGCATTTTGATGTTGAATACTCCCAAATTAGATTGACAATTTCTGTACCATATGTGATATCATTTAGAATCTCTATATCCTTGGCATGAGCTTCACCTTGTAAAGTTACAACCTGGTAGAAACTCAATATGGTGAATTTTGAGCCTCATTTTTGTGGTAGTCTAGTGAGAGTAACTTCTGGTTTAACGTCTTACTTTGCTTTTCTTCATGCTATGTCACGAACATAATTTAGTCTGGCCTTTTCCTTTTCATTCAGTTACTTTTTATATGAAGAATTTGTCCCACTTTCTATTTCTTGTCTCTTTTATACATAAAATAAGTAATTTGAAATAATTTCACCAATCAAACTTCGTAGGAATAACAGATTTAAATCCAGATATCCCTGTTTTGCAATTAGTATGGCAGATGGTTATACTGCTAGAAATCATGCTAATGACAGTGTGTACTGATTCTAAGTGCTACAGAACCGTGCACACTACACAGGGTAGGATGTCATCTTATTAGGGCTCAAAGAAACTAAAATTCTTGTGCTGTCTTTTGTTTTGGAATATAACACAGGGTCAACAACGTGAACTGGTTAAGCCTTTGGGTGATCTGATTTTGGAGATATTGCAGTTGGATAAGATATAAGTTTCAAAACTCAATTTCCTTCAAGCTCTTTGTGCGGTTGTCCCATTTGCTTTAAAAATTCTCTTCTTCCATTGTTGAACTGAACATGGGAAATGTTTAATGCAAATATACACAAAACAACAATGTGTGCACTGCATGCATATATGTCTATGTTTGGAGATGTATGTATCTTTCTGTGCATATAATATACTGTATGATCCTATTTAATCAACATTTTGTTTTTCGTGCATCAAGTATGATCTAAGTCATGTCTCTTGTGTCTTGTGTTTTGTTTGTAGGATGAGAAGGATAAGAAAATTCAAGAATTAACTGCAGAGCTTCGGAACAAGAAACGGCTGTGCACTACATATCAGGAACAGCTAACGGCATTTACTGAGATCGTTGAAGAGTATAATGAACAGCTATCCAAGAAAGTTCAAAATGTAAAGAGCAATATTAAAGAATTTGAGGCCATAGATCAGGAGCTTTCACAGCATAGATAGCCTTCAATTGAGAGTGAGTATATCAAAATTATGTAGGGTGTAGTTTATTTCTATTTGTTCCTGATTTTATCAATTAGGTTGCTAGAATTGTTGGACACCATTTCTGCAGTGAAATTAAGGTTTAGTAATGTCTGTTTTCCAATGCTAATAATTCAAGTACGGTCTAGAGGTATTCCTCTTCACTCGTAAGTGAGAGGTCTTAGGTTCGATTCTTGCCAAAGGTGAATTTGAACCACATTATTGCTAGCCCATTGTGAGGTACCCCATCTCCTTTAGTGTAGATAATATTGTTTGTTAAAAAAAAAAAAAATCAATAGTGTTGCAACTTGAATATTTCATTGCTTCCATAAGGTGTAGTGTTTGCTTTCTTTTCCCTAATGATGATCTGAAACTGCGCTGAATAAAATTCCTCACTGTTTAATACATTTAGGGGAAAAGATTAAATCCCTTGAACTTAAATTCAAGTATCATAGCTTGCAGTGTTCAAAACTTGGATTTCTCTCTTCGGTGAATGTATGATTGATGAAGTTTCATTAGTGTTGATTGGTTCCGATTAATCTTGAATTGGTTCTGAGTTGAAAAATTAAAAGTACAATTTCCCCCTGATATGAATGCTGCTGTAAAACATGTCTCTTTTTAGTTCCCAAATTTCTTCAACGAGGACAATCAATGGCCGGCCCGTGAGGCTGCCCTTGTTGTTCCCTATGTTGCATGGGTATGAATACAAGATATGCTATACATATACGACAAGTCTCCAAAAACTAGGATATGGTGGTAAGGATACGATAATAAAATATATGTATATGTATGAATTATTTCTTCATTTTTTATTTATGTTTTGTTGTGTTTCTTAGTGCCCTTGCATGTTATAATACACTCAGGTTCCTTTTTGGTTCTTTGTTTTGGAAAAGAAAAAAGTTTCAGTATATTTAGAATGTACCCTCACATACCTGGTTTTCCTTTTCTAAAAGTTGCAGATTAGCCAAGTATTACTTTCAATACACTTGCATATTCGGGCCGTTTCTGTCAGGAGTCAGGACCGTTATCCCGCATTGGTAGAACTTACAAGCCAGTTTTGTAGGGCCAAGTTCTACACACGGGTTCTTAACGGTATCCAAAAGTCAAACTACCCCAAAACATCAGTTGGATACAGATTAGGAACATTCATTCAATTCCAAGGGCATATCGGTTTCAGCAAATAGGTTAAGCTTAACATAAAAATTTTAAACAGTAATTACATTGATGTAGTCCTACCTATTTTTTGTGTGTTGTCGTTTTGAATATTTAACTCCGCCGTGTAAGTTTATCTTACATTGCCGGTCCCAAGCCCGGATAAAGGAGGAGGGGGAGGGCGTCAGGTAGTCGACAGCCGGCACTCCATGATCACGTCGAATCCTTATGAAAATGAATCCAGAACGAAATCGCGCATGCCAGGGCGCTCAACCATGGAGGCAATCTATCTCTTACGAAGATTGATGGAAAGATATAGAGATGGGAAAAAGGATTTACACATGGTCTTTATAGATTTGGAAAAAGCGTATGATAGGGTCCCAAGAGACGTTCTTTGGAGGATTTTAGAGAAGAAATGAGTACGAGTAGCATATATCCAAGCTATACAGGATATGTATGAAGGAGCAAAGACTGCCGTAAGAACTCATGAAGGACAAACCGAAAGTTTTCCCATAACTGTAGGATTACATCAAGGCTCATCCTTAAGTCCTTACCTTTTTGCGTTGGTAATGGATGAGTTAATAGGACATATTCAAGATGATATTCCTTGGTGTATGTTTTTCGCAGACGATATAGTGTTGATAGATGAAACTCAGGAAGGGGTAAATGCAAAGCTTAACCTTTGGAGAGAAGTGTTGGAATCTAAAGGTCTTCGCCTAAGCCGATCAAAGACAGAATATATGGAGTGCAAGTTCAGTGCAAATGGAGGCCAAAACGAGTTAGGGGTGAGGATCGGAGATCAAGAAATACCAAAGAACGATCGTTTTCGTTACCTAGGATCTATCTTGCAAAAGAACGGAGAATTAGATGGAGATCTCAACCATAGAATACAAGCTGGATGGATGAAGTGGAAGAGTGCATCCGGCGTGTTGTGTGACCCGCCGTATGCCACTGAAGCTCAAGGGAAAATTTTACAGGACGGCAATAAGGGCCGGCGATGCTGTATGGCACAGAATGTTGGGCGGTGAAGCATCAACACGTACACAAAATGGGTGTAGCGGAGATGAGGATGCTTCGTTGGATGTGTGGGCACACGAGAAAGGATAAGATTAGGAATGAGGATATCCGGGGTAAAGTAGGAGTAGCCGAAATTGAAGGAAAGATGAGAGAAAATCGGTTACGGTGGTTTGGACATGTGCAAAGAAGGCCTACTGACGCTCCGATTAGAAGATGCGAGTATGGGACAGAGGTTCAGGGCCGAAGGGGTAGAGGAAGACCCAGGAAAACTTTGAGAGAGACCCTAAGAAAAGACTTAGAGTACTTGGATCTAACGGATGACATGACACAGGACAGAACACAATGGCGTTCTAAGATTCATATAGCCGATCCCACTCAGTGACTTGGATTTTCCAAGTCTCCAACCGAGAAGTTGTCCTCGCTCGGGAAATTAAGGGAACACTACCTCAACCTACATGCTCCACTCACAAAGCTCCAACATACAAGCTTCAACAAAAGAAAATTCAAAGAACTTAGCGAAGAAGGCTTTGGTGATTTAACACAATACGTTGAAATGAAGGAAAACTTATTTATTGATATCCCCGATAAATTACAAATATGTACATATACTTGAGTCAAAATAAACAAACAAGAGGGAGCCTTCACAAAGGTTGCTTAGGAGAAGTCTCGGCAGTCGGTAGAGCCCCAGAAAGAGAAGGCACCGGAGGGGGATCATTCGGAGCCTCAGTACTGGACAGAACCATAGAAGGATGAGGCATCAGAGGTTGATCATTTGGAGCTTCATTACGCGGTACAGCCCCAGAAGACGAAGGCAATAAATGCCTTTGGAACAAACCCACAAATCTCTGATGATCAAGTAAAACCTGACCATCAGATTCCTTCATCTGGTCAAGCTTCCTCTTCATGTTTGTAGCATAGTCATGTGCGAGCCGGTGCAACTGTTTATTCTCATGCTTGAGCCCTCTAATCTCCTGTTTGAGACTCATCACTTCAGCCGCCAATGATTCAACTTGGCGGGTTCGAGCAAATAGGCGTTGGGCCATATTAGACAGAACCTGCACACTGAACACTAAGAGCCAGAGAATCCTTAACAGCCAACTCATCAGACCGTTTGGAAAGTAGTCTGTTATCTTTGGGACTGAGAAGGTTCCTGGCCACTACCGCAGCGGTCATATCATTCTTCATCACGGAATCCCCAACGGTAAGAGGACCAGTAGGGGAGACGAAGGATGGGCGCCATATGTTGTCTGGAGAAGGCGGGGCTGCCTCTTCAACAAGGTTCAAGTCAAAACGATGGTCGGAGGGGCCAGACATTTTCAAAGGTGTAGAAGAGAGAAAAGGTCGGACAAATCAAGATCTTAGAAGTGCAAGAATGGAGCTTCTACTAGTGGATATTCAAGTGTGCTTTGGAACTTAATGTCAGCCTCTATAAAAATCTGCACTCGACGAAGCTTCAGAAATCGAAGAGGCGTTTGCTTTCTCAAAAGCTGGGCTGCTCAGAGACCACGAGGGTCGATCTCAGAAATCGAAGAGGCGTTTGCTTTCTCAAAAGCTGGGCTGCTCAAAGACCACGAAGGCCGATATTAGAAATCGAAGAGGTTTGCTTTCTCAAAAGCTGGGCTGCTCAGAGACCACGAGGGCCGATCTCAGAAATCGAAGAGACACCTACTTTTCCAGCCTTGTCAGCACCTGTCACACGCACACTCAGCTTTGCGGAAATTATGGGCATTCTGTCGAAGATTTCTGGCGATGTAGAAAGCACATGAATCGTACTGTTCAATCACCCACTTCCCACACGCAACAGTAGCTCATGGGTACCACATATAACTTTGCCAAAGTTCTCTGACAAAGTTGAGACTACTTTTCCAGCCTTGTCAGCACCTGTCACACGCACACTCAGCTTTGCGGAAATTATGGGCATTCTGTCGAAGATTTCTGGCGAAGTAGAAAGCACATGAATCGTACTGTTCAATCACCCACTTCCCACACGCAACAGTAGCTCATGGGTACCACATATAACTTTGCCAAAGTTCTCTGACAAAGTTGAGACACGTGAAGCTTGCAACTCTCACTACATCGCTCTGACCAAGAAGGGTAAAAGAATAGCAAAGAAACAACACTAACAAAGTTTAGACACATAAATTTTGAAGGCCTAGCTACCATATTATTACCCACAAGGGTAAAGGAACAGTACCACTGCTGGATAATTGGAAAGTCCCGGTGTGTCAACCTCTGTGCTTCGTGGCAAGGTAGACTAGCAAACATGCACAACCTTTACTCACATTCGAGAAAACACTCCCAACAAGATTGCTTGCCCCAAAATCAAAGAGGCATCGCCCTCCGAATCTTGAGAGCCAGACTCCCAACATGATTACTTTCTCAAAAATCGAAGAGAGGGTAAAGGAACAGTACCACTGCTGGATAATTTGAAAGTCCTTGTGTGTCAACCTCTGTGCTTCGTGGCAAGGTAGACTAGCAAACATGCTCAACCTTTACAACATTCGAGAAAACACCCCCAATAAGATTGCTTGCTCCAAAATCGAAGAGGCACCGCCCTCCGAATCTCGAGAGCCAGACTCCTAACATGATTACTTTCTCAAAAATCGAAGAGAGGGTAAAGGAAGAGTACCACTGCTGGATAATTGGAAAGTCCCTGTGTGTCAACCTCTGTGCTTCGTGGCAAGGTAGACTAGCAAACATGCCCAACCTTTACTCATATTCGAGAAAACACTCCCAACAAGATTGCTTGCTCCAAAATCGAAGAGGCACCGCCCTCCGAATCTCGAGAGCCAGACTTCTAACATTATTAAAAGGTCGTACCCAGTGCACAAGGCTCCCGCTTTACGCAGGGTCTGGGAGGTGAATGTCGGCTAGCCTTACCCCCATTTATGGAGAGGCTGCTCCCAAGTCTCGAACCCGAGACCTACCGCTCATGGGCGAAGGCACTTGCCATCGCACCAAGTGCGACCTCTCCGAATCTCGAGACTCCCAACATGATTACTTTCTCAAAAATCGAAGACATCGCTCTCCGAATCTCGAAAGCCAGACCCCCAGCAGGATTGCTTTCTCAAAAATCGAAGAGGCATCGTTCTCCGAATCTTGAGAGCCAGATCCCCGACAGGATTGCTTGTTCAAAAACCGAAGAGGCACCACTTTCCCAACTTCAAGAGCCGGATCTCCTTGGATAAAGCTTGTCTGTAATCTTCACACGCAACATCAGCTTTCCAGATACCACAGACCACTTTTTCAAAGTGCTCTGACAGAGTTAAAACTTGTGAAGCTGGCAGCTCCCACTACCGTGCTATGACCAAGCAGGGTAAAGGAATAACATTATTACTTGATGTTAGGGAGACTCCTATATATGTCGACCTCCATCCCCAACGGACAGGCAGACCTGCAAAAATGCTCAACCCTTCCTCTTATCTGAGAGGGCACTCCCAACGAAGCCTTTCGAAATATTCAGCTTTCTTTCCCCCCGATAATACCTCTGTAAACAAGTTATACTAGAGCAAGAATATCTCATATCATCAGGGTTAAAAGCAAGAGTATCCCATATCATGCTTTTTCCCTGTCTTTTCCTTTGGCCTTGTTCTTACCTGCAAGACAAGGAGAAAGAGAGCAATCAGTCAGCACTTGGAATCAAGCTTCCAGCCAGGAACTGACTGCCTGGAACCCCTTACCTGATTACTTACCTGGCATTGCTCTCGAGTACTCATCTTCAACATCTTATGCTTCCAGGGAAGATATCGCATCTGCTTGAGGAACAGATAGGGCAAGTGAGAAGGATACAAGGAAGCATGTGGAGACAAGCGTAACAGCACACGTGCCGATACATCCACTACTCTGTCAAAAGCAAAAGTATCCCATATCAGCAGGGTGGAACGTACTCTAGATTTGATGGACTTGTTTTGACCCTCAAATTCTTCAGTCGGCCTTATACTCTGGAGGAAACCAGAAAACCCTCCAGCCCAGTTCAAGAATAAGCATGTGGAAAGTTACTTCTTCAAAAGCAAAAGTATCCCATATCATCTCTTCTCATTTTTCTTCTCTTTATCCTTCATGCTGCCTGCAAGATAGGGAGAATGTGAACAATCAGCCGGAGCTCTGATTGCTTACCTTGTCTGTTACCTCTTTCAGCAAATCCCCTAGCTCGGCGACTTGGGGGACTCCTACTACATGGTTTGTATCGCGCTTGACCAAGCCTGAAACTACAAGTAAGCTTCAAGTGACATTGATACATTACCTTGTGCATCTCCACCAGTTACAGATACCACCCCTGGATGGAGGAAGAGTACTTCCAGAGAAGATTCCACATCTACCTATGAGACAGATAAGGAAAGTCAAGACGATACCACACTCCGGTACTTAGAAGTTTCATGGTTACGAGATCATTCTCCCACAATATTTCCTAATGTCATTTGTACTAAATCATTCACTTGTACTCCCTAAAGGAGAGCTTGAACCTATGTACTTGTGTAAACCCTTCACAATTAATGAGAACTCCTCTATTCCGTGGACGTAGCCAATCTGGGTGAACCACGTACATCTTGTGTTTGCTTTCCTATCTCTATCCATTTATATACTTATCCACACTAATGACCGGAGCAATCTAGCGAAGATCACAAAAAGTGACCGTTTTCGCTACCTAGGATCTATCTTGCAAGAGAACGGAGAATTAGATGGAGATCTCAACCATAGAATACAAGCTGGATGGATGAAGTGTAAGAGTGTATCCGGCGTGTTGTGTGACCGTCGTAGGCCACTGAAGCTCAAGGGAAAATTTTATAGGACGGCAATAAGGCCAGCGATGTTGTATGGCACAAAATGTTGGGCGGTGAAGCATCAACACGTACACAAAATGGGTGTAGCGGAGATGAGGATGCTTTGTGGGATGTATGGGCACACGAGATAGGATAAGATTGGGAATGAGGATATCCGAGGTAAAGTAGGAGTAGCCAAAATTGAAGGAAATATGAGAGAAAATCGGTTCCGGTGGTTTGGACATGTGCAAAGAAGGCCTACTGACGCTCCGGTTCGAAAATGTGACTACGGGACAGAAGTGCAGGGCCGAAGGGGTAGAGGAAGACCTAGGAAAACTTTGGAAGAGACCCTAAGAAAAGACTTGAGTACTTGGATCTAACGGAGGACATGACACAAAACCGAGCGCAATGGCGTTCTAGGATTCATATAGCCGACCCCACTTAGTGGGAAAAGGCTTTGTTATTGTTGTTGTTGTCGTCGTTGTCGTCGTCGTTTTGAATATTTGATTGGCATGCTTAAATACTTGTTGATTAGGTTCTTAATTTCCAACTTTTACAGCTTTGGCTGTAACGTGGAGTTATTCGCATCTTTATTGGCATCTCTCTCTGCACAGATCTTTCATTTTGTTTCTAACTTAAATAACACTATTCCTATTGTGTTCATTTTCCTTTTTGTTTCTTTTCAATTCCTTTCCTCTTATTACTCTTATATTAGACTTTCGAGTTGTTTTATTCATTAGATACGAGGAGGCTCATATTTTTAATATGATTTCAGACATTGATCGAGATCTATCATGCCAATCATAAACAGATTTTTCAAGTTTATTGCAAAGTTACAATTGCTTACGAATGCTAATACAAGTATTTATCTATTTCAATTGCATTCAGTAAGATGAATTTCAGTGCATTTACGGTAAGAAGAAAAGTAGAGTGAATAGCTCATGTCTTTATGCAACTTTTTTCTTCATTTCAGTGCAGGCTGCAGCCATGCGAGCAAATCCAATTTGTCCGTGACTGCGCAGACGTGCAAGCACTGATGGAGCTGCTTAAAACGGTGACCAGTTCATGAGCTGCAATCGCGCTTAAATTTACTCGTTTTTGTGCAGCAACTTGAAAGCATTGCCACGGTCCAAGTGCATATTTTGAATGGTGCAAGATAATATCCGAGAGGCGTAACGGGTGGCTAACTGCGGTTATATTGGGCATCGGCGTCCCAAAGTCTAGACAGAGAAATAGTTTGTGTCCATTTTAAAGGAATTTGGTAGCATTTTAGAGTTGTGGAAACCGAATCCGCTTGTACATAATTTCGATACTAGAAGCCTAGAAGGTAGATTTTTACTTCTCGTATGCTGTTGCCATCACGCTTTTCTGTACTCCGTCGAACATCTTTTGCTGCCAGCGGTTGAAGCTTCCTCGCTTGAACTTTTCTGGTTTTCGAGCGTGAGAGTTCTTTGAACACACCTAGCATGAAATGCATTTCTATTTAACATTTTGTACTTCTTTCGTTCCCTATTAACTAGATCTCAATCGTTCGGGACTTGCACATTCTTCACCCAAACAATGCCAAAATGATATTCCGAACCGATCACGTGCCATTTATAAGAACGAAGGTATATATTATTGCAAATTTTATGAGTTGTTACGAAGATGCAGGCCAGAAAAAATAAGTGTGCTATCAATATATTGAACTCACGTTAATTTAATAATAATTTAAGTCACGTTAATTTAATAATAATGTTATAGGTATCAAACTCAGACTGTCTGATTGTTATATATAATACCACATATACTTAAAAATGTGAAACGCCCTCCAAAATATTAATTTACACTCAACATTTGTTCCAGAAAAAATTGTATTGAGAGAGTGAGATGATATTTTTGAACAGCGAATTACAACACCTTTTTTCTTCTTCCAAGAAAAAAATATAATTTGGTTGTATGTTTGTTTTTTGGCTTTTTGGTCAAAATAGTAACTGAATTAACATAAATCTTCATTTTAGTCATGACAATAGTAAATCGATAGGAGTGGATCATGAGTATGTCCATTGTAAACTATTTTGGTATTTTCGTGAAAAATCTCTCAATATTTTTGTTAAGTGAAGGAGTTGGTTTAACAAAAATTTCCTTAAAAAAATGGTCACGTAGTCGTCAACGTGACATTTTAATAAGGATGTTAACAAATATTTCACTAACGTACCAAAATGATTTACGGTGAAAAAAATTAAGAACTACATGTACCGATTTTTATTGTCAAGAAACTAAAGTGAAGAGTTACGCATTTTAACTCAAAATCCTTTTTAAATGTATATTCCGATGATTAACCACGCGTGCGGTTCTTCTTACACTAACACTTGACGCTCAAACAGTCTGAAAAAGTGAAAACTCGGAGGCATCTTTTTTCCCCTCTTTCAAAATCTAAGCTCGCCGTTTCTTCTCTCCGACCACCACCTCCACCGGACTCCAAATCCAAATCCAAATCCTGTTGGGGTTCAAGTAAGTCCAACCCATCTCTCCGTTTCTCTGTTTTATATTTTACAGTAAAAGATACGACCTTTCTTTCTTCTTGTTGTGGTTTTTTCTGCTGTTATTAAACGCTCTGTGTATCCGCCATTGATGATATTGATACCCTCTGATTGATTGACTTTGTTTTGTGTGCAATTCTACTTGTTGAGCTCATTCAAGTTCCTATTTGTTTGTGGGCACACTACTTTTCCTGTATTTGTAATTGGTAATCGAAATTTGTGGGAGAAGAGAATAATGAGAAGAGAAATTAAGGGTGTGGATGTTTGGCCACATTTTCATGCCTTTCGTGAAGATTATTGAAACGCGAAATGACATGGAATTTCTTCAAAAGATTTCTTAGATACAAATACGATTTATTTGCACTGTAAACTAAAAGGAACCGGTGAAGTCTTGAGTGCGCTGGTGTTCTTATTTCTGAGATTTTAAATAAGCTTGAGAGTCGATGGAGATATAGCTTAGCTTTCGTGTATTAGTGTTATTATAATCTTTTGTTTTGTGTGTGCTCGGCAAAGCATGTACATCCTATTAATTGCATCTCGCACATTTGTTCCACCATGTCTGTTTGAGATTTCATACCATTGCCCTCCGTATATAGCATTGTCAAATAGAGGATGGTGAGGTTTGATAGTCTTTTCTCAGTGTGCGATGTTGTATTTGTTAATTGGTTGTAACATATTGATGTTGCTTAGAACACGCGTAGCATTGAAGGATATCATTTGCTATATGTTAGCGCATATAGGGTTTAGTTAGGGGCCATAGGGCTGAGTGGCAGATGCAAATTTCTTAAACGGACTAGTGTGGCCGAACTGTAGGTGTTTTGCATCAAGGATTTTGTGAGTAGACCACCTCTCAAAACACACCTATCATTGATAATACGCATTAAAATCTATACCAATGCTGGATTGTTTTTTAAGATTTTATGTCTTAATCTTACATTACCACATTCCTAAATCTTAAGCTTTCTTTGAGTGGAATTTATATGATTTGGTCATTTAATCATTTCCCTTTCAAATCTCAAGTTCGTGTATCCATATGCAGAACTAAACGGTCTGCTTAATAGCATGTTTGGCTTAGTGCATTTTATAACTTGATACGTTGTGCTACAGTGGAGGTGCAAATGGATGATTTGAATGGGACAGTCGAAACTTCTGCAGGAGGGGAATCAAATAATATTGAAGTTGGCCCATGTCAAGAACCATATGAGGGTATGCTTTTTGAATCAGAAGAAGCTGCCAAAGTATTCTATGATGATTATGCCAGGCGTGTTGGATTTGTGACCCGTGTTTGTCATCCCGGAAGTCTGAGCGTGATGGGTCAATAATCTCTCGTGGACTTGGATGCAGAGGGGTCTCTGAGAATCGTAGAAAAGTAATGCAGAAGGAGTGTGGAGAAGGAGAAGTTTGTCCAGCCATGGTCTTGTTGAAACAAGAGATGCCTGGAAGATGGGTTATCAAGAAATTTTTGGGGGACCATAATCATCTGTTAGTGATTCAATCACCAAAGATCCGCAGAACGCTTGTAAGCTTCTCTTGCTTTGCATATTTTCTCATGAGCAGGACAATTTCTGTTAATGAGTTGTGTTTTTATAGATACGAGTGAACCCTACTGTTAACTTTTAACGAAAAACCATATTTTTACCTTTAACTGGCAATGGCACTATTCACTATACCTTTGAAAAGGGCTTTTTCTAAAAAAGAAGTTTTTTTGGACTTTTCATTAGTTTTCCTTTAATTAATCATGTCAAATAACTCAACAGTAACCAAACCTGTGAGCTAAACTAAAAAATATATTTTCTTTGTTTCTAAACCAAATCTGACATATGCAATACTTAAAAAAACAAAAATCAACTTATCACGATACCCATGAAAGTATAATTATATTAATCCTAGAATTTCAAAAGCATATTAAGAAGCGGAAACATTATGTTCTTTTAAGTATAACAATATAACACAGGGAATATCCACATACCTTCTCGAAAAATTAAGTACAACCATATAACACAGAGGGATTATTCCCTAAACTCTGGAGATTCCGAAACCACATACCTTGTCTATCCTACTAAACCCACAAGAACAACGGAGTTTAGAAACTACAACCACCCAAATTCCTAGTTCAATATCTTAGGAGTATCTTGACCGTATCCAAGAAATATCGGAGGGTATCATGGGGGTGTAGGTATCCGATACTCACCCTTGTCCAAATTTGAAGTATCGGTGCAATATAGCTTGTAACTTATATTAAATGAAAAAGGAAGAAAGACGTGAAAGTTAAAGTTGAAGGCTACCGTATTTCTTTGTTCCCTCGTTCTTGCTATCAAACTACCTTCCTTTATTTGATAATGTCAGCTTATCTAGAACTATTTGATGTATCAGTTTAATGAACTTTTTTCCTTTTAAGGATTAAATTGACTCCTTACATTTCCACTTTAATATGGAGAGCATACTTCTAAATGTTGAAAAGGAAAATTACAGATAATCTTAATATGTTCTGAAGCCTTCCTGAGTCCCTGACCGCATTGGATTCAAGACTTATTTTTCTTCGTATGTAAAGTGTAATCCTGTACGTAACATTGAAAATTTCTAGGATGAGCTTAGCTTGGAAATTTAACACCTTAATTTGTTATTCCTGAATGTGTTTTAATTATTCCTTTTCCGTTTTGAACACAGCTTGTTTTTGCATGTGTTTATGGCCTTAAAATCTCTTATACCACATTGATGCTCTCACAAAATATTCAACTCGTGAGCCTTTTGATTATCATTGTACTCATGGTTTCTTCCTTTCAGATGCTTCAGAACTTGTGTTTTGTGAAAGTTTGTACTTTTGAATCGTCCAATGTATAGTGCTCTATTGCCATTGGGGATTTTATAAATCTGTTGGGTTTTGGGAGATATCTTTTGTTTCCATATGCGGTTTCCTTTTCTTTCTTGGCTGTGTTCCCTCTCGAGATTAACACAGCACACACTGTACCCACTCGTTTCCCCCAGAGTTCATTGATCATCGTTTTGCATATGTTTCCAGGATGAGAAAGATAAGAAAATCCAGGAGTTATCTGCAGAGCTACGAGTTAAGAAGCGGTTAAGTGCAGCGTATAGAGATCAGCTACTTGCCTTTATCAAGGATATTGAAGACCACAACGCGCACCTTTCAACAAAAGTTCAATCGGTTTCTAACAAGCTAAAAGAGCTTGAAGCTAAAACAGTTGTGTGAGTATGATTTCGTTTCTAGGAGGGCCTTAATTGTATTTCTCGAATGTCGAATCAGAAACTCCAGACTGAGGAAAGTAGGAAATAGGATGCTTCTGAATCTTCTATCTTTCAAGTGTAAATATACAAGAGATTGTGATGGGGACATGACAAAGTAGGGCTTCTGAGCAGAGCTGCCGTTTGGGCCGCAACAAAGGAGGCTCATTATTTATGACAAGCTTTAGACACTAGACCTAAGGAATATATGAATCGAGAGATTCTTCTCATTTTCAGTATTTTTAGGGTAACATTACCCCTGGATCTGCTATTTGTTTGGCCCGTGAGTCTTGCCTGTTTTAAACCAACCTTTCGCGACGCTCTAATCTTGGGATATGACGTTCGTGAATCAACTGAATTGGAATATTTATTCCTTATGGATTGATATATATATATTTTTTTAATTTTAAAATAGGGAGATAACTGATGGTAATCCACGGTTATCTACTCTTTTCGGAGGTCAGGAAGACTCACAGAGCCATTTCAGCTTCCTTATGGTCACAAGTTTGGTTTTCACACCATCATCGGGTTTCGAACTCGAGATCTTCAGTTTTAAGTTTTAAAGAAGTTTCGTAATTTGCCATTTACCACTGAGCCACCAGTTTATTTATGCCATTGATGAATTCACGTGACACGTATAGAATGAGTGTTATTTTTGCAATTACTTTTAAAAGTGCGTTTGTTACACCAGATTTAATAATTTAACAAAAAATATTGTGAAAGGGTATATAGCGCGTGTAAACGCAGAAATTTTGTTTTTGTTGGTCGCACTTAAACAGAATGTAGGCTACTTGTTTTGGTGTGAAAACTTCCCTCGGTTCCTAGTCGAAAAGCATCTTCCTGTACATCCCCAGCAACTGAGACTAGCTCCGCCTCCGAGTCCGGAGTCCTCGGGCTGGTCTTTCTGTTACCGTGTTCCGCCCTTCCAACGCTCTCCATCTCCTGCGGGACCCACCACTACCAGCGAACCCCGCAGAATTTACCACTTGGGCTCGTGGAGCTGCCATGCGCAGATCGTTTTAGGACTTCCGCTTTCTTCAAACCTTTCGTCATTGGCGACTGTGAGTTAAAACCAAACCCTGTTTATTCTTTCTTCTTTGCTTTCCCTTGCTAAGTTTCTTATGATTAACTGTTGTAATTGATGCTTTTCGTATTTATAACTCCAGGGCTCAGGTTTTTTTTTTTTAATTATGTTTAGATGCTGATTTGAAGCAAATTTGATGATTGTTTAACCACAAACTGGCCGCATTCTTCGTAAAATTTCGCAACTTTGGTGAAAAACTATGATTTCTGTGTGTGTATTTATCAACTTTGACTGTTTTTAGGTGAAATCATGATGCTGAGCTTACATAAATAGTTAAATTAAGAAACCAATGTTGGACTGTTAGTTCAAAATGTGTTTTAATCTTTACCGTACCAAGAGATATAATGGCTCATGTTATTTGTTTCGACAATTGGATTGTTATTAAGACTATCCTATGTTTTCTAATTTTTTTGTTTGGACATTCAGCATTCGAATTTAATGTAAGAAAATGATTTGCAAAATGCCCTTTGGGTCTGTAAGGTTCTTGTCTGTCTTTATAAGGCTGACTACTTTCGTACTAACCGTCTGCGGAATTGTGTAATTGAACTCTAAGTCTAACTACATTTTTTGTGGGGGATAGACTGCCATTATACTATAAATTTTGTGAAGTGATAGGTAACCAAACATTAGAAAGACTCGAAAACTGGTGCAATGGGAAAAAGAGTGCCTCTTTCAAGAGATGCAATTTATTAATTTGAAAATTAGGTTGGTCAAAGTTGCACGCCAACGGCCTTATTCCTAAGTTTCTTGCTTTCTCTGCAATCAAGGGCTTCTCTTTTAAATGCCCTATTGAGAAACTTCCCTCTTGAAGGTACATTGTCCTCTATGTTGTGCTTGAAAAATTATTGTGCTTTAAGTTACTCTATAGTCTTTGTCTCATGCAACGATAAACCTGCTCTTAGTTTATTTTTTGTGAGAAACCTTCTCCTAGTTTATCAATCTTATTTTATCCGAATCACCCATCATCGGAAGGAATCTGGAATCTGAAGAGAGATTCATGTCACATTTGAGTGCTCTTAGTTATGAAACTTCCATTGCTTGTACAGAATATAGCTGTCTTAACACAGTGAACAAAGGTTGAGTCACGCATATTGGGCAATCCAATACCTGGAAACGGTTCTCCTCTTTCGATGCTTAGAACATTATCTTGACTAAGTCTTGTGTACTTCATGTTTTGAAGACCGTTCTTCAGCTTTATTTTAGGTCCTATTATCACAAAGCTTAATGGTCCGTATGGTATACATAACCATACATGTGAAAACCTTTGTTGTTTATGATGAATATGAAACTTTGAGGATAATTACAATGGCTCCTACTGTAATGGGTCACTTTTCTTCTGTTACATGTCATTACTGTGTTATTGGCGTTCCAGTTATTTATTAGTGCTTGTGTTTGCATTTATTTATTTATGTTTTGCAATATGTAAAGTATAACTTAAGTCATTTAAGTATTGCTTTTGTAAACCCTGTAAACCCTCGATTCTTATGCTTTTCTTCTCCCTCAGACTCTATTCTTTCTAAGAAACAGTAATGGGGCATAGACAAGTGCAGTGTTGACAATACATAGGTTTTTGAAACTAAAAATTCTGCTGTCAAGCAAATCACTTGTAGTAGAAGTTGACCTACTATTTTGTCGTTGTTTATGTGTCCTATTTTTGGGAAAATGATTAGTCAATTTTGTTGTTTCTTCTTGTAGGAACGTAATGGATCACGAATCTAATCATGGATTTGATTCAGATGAGAGTGACCTAGATGTGCATGCTGAAACCTATGAACATAATGAAGGGATACAAGGTGTGCTTCCTGAGAATTTGGACTTGTGTGTAGATGAAAAAGAGGAGACAGAAGAACAATCAGCTGATCTACCTATGAACGTAGAAGCTTTAGAACCGTATATAGGCATGGAGTTCAACTCAAGAGATGAAGCTAGAGAATTTTATGTTGCATATGGCAGACGCTCCGGTTTCACCGTACGGATACACCACAATCGTCGTTCACGAGTAAATAATCAGATTATTGGTCAAGATTTTGTTTGCTCAAAAGAAGGCTTTCGAGCAAAAAAGTATGTGCACAGAAAAGACAGAGTTCTTCCTCCACCCCCAGTAACCCGTGAGGGCTGTCAAGCTATGATAAGGCTAGCTCTAAGAGATGGACCGAAGTGGGTAGTCACAAAATTTGTTAAAGAGCATAATCACAAACTAATGAGTCCCAGCAAGGTTCCATGGCGGGGATCAGGAAAGCACTTAGCAAGTGAGGTATGTTGGGGAGTATTTTTTTTAGCATAATACTGAATGAAATGTTTGCATAAGAAGATTTGTCACCAACTCACTGGTACTAAATACTGTGTTCAATGATAATGTTGAAGAAAACTAAACAGATTACCAAATAATTAAAAAAGGATCACGGATTTGCTTTTAGATTATAAAATGATTGTTAATCGATGTCCTAATAGTTTAAGCTTTGGGAAAGTAGTGGTCATCGAACAAAACTAGTGAGGAGAGACCCACGCACAAAGGGAAGTGCTGGATTTTAAAAGAATTGTTAATTGACATGCTAATAGCTTAAACTTTGGGGTTGTTGGTAAAGCAACAAAACTTTGTCGATCAGAATGGTTAACATGCTAATCCATGCCTTCAACTGTGGAAGAGCTGTGCGTATTGTTACCAGGCACTTGTCCAGGCCTGGAATCATCTTGCATTAGCCGTTAAGTTGAAGCTAAACATTCCTTGCTCTTTATATGAAGCTGTTGTTTAGTAGACATGCAAAAGGATTCATTTATCTTTACATATTGACTTCTCCAACTTAAGTCCTCCTATGTTAATTCCAACTAGGTTAACAGAAACTCATCTATACCTGTGTCGATCAACCAACTGCCTAGTTATGGTCTGTTTGTGAATACCCACTTTTCTACGTGGACGGATATTCCAGGAGACTTAACAGACATATTATTGACATAGCAAAAACTAAAGCACCCATAATTGTTGCTAGTATAACACAGATTAAAAAAAATTACTCTTAATCATTGCGCCTATTAATTTCTAAGATCCCTGGTTTAGCATCTTAAATTTTCCCATGATGTAGTGACATGTTTAATGAAAAACAATGATGTAGTGACCTAATAGCATCTTAAATTACTCTTAATCATTGCTCCTAATTTTCAGGATGAGAAGGATAAAAGAATCCGAGAGCTGTCCCTTGAGCTGTACAACGAGAGGCAAAAATGTAAGCGACGTTGTGCTGCATATGAAGAACAGCTAAATATGATCTTGAAAGATTTGGAAAAACACACAGAGCACATGTCAAAAAAAGTTTCGGATACAGTTCAGAGCATAAAAGAAATTGAGGAGGAACAATCAGAGGACTCGGATAGCGGATGGAGTTAATGCAACTTGTACCTTTTCTTGCCCCTTGCTTTGCCGTTGATGATGAGCAACCTATTTTATCAGTTTTTGGAGTTTACGTAACTGCTAATTCACCTATGGTGTCGGTCAAGGTTGCCACAGAGGACAAATTAAGTCCACAGAATGGCTGTCTTTCAGAAAATATGGTGGCAGCTGAAGTTTGGTGTCTGGATCAAGGTGCTCATCCTCAGTGAAGGCTTTATGAGCACATCGGCAAAATACTTGATAAAATGTTAGAACTCATATGTTCAAAGTGTTCTGGGTCTTTCTCTTGTTGAATAGTAATGTAGTTTTGTTTTCCTCTCTTACCAAATTTGAAATGTTACTGTAATTTTTGTTTTGTTGGTGGACTAAATATGCACCCGTAGGAATTGGTAAGCATTTCTGTCCAAGCCCCCGGCGTTGTCAAGCCTTCTTCCGTACTGACCTTCCCGCAGAGAGGGTAGAGCCTTAGTTACCCGCAGGTCATAAGCCGGTAACCAGTGGAAGAGCAAGAACTTTCAGGTGAAAGACCCTCACTCGAACTCAGTAGGAAGCCAAGCACGCACGAAAGAAGCTTCCCGAGCTGCTGCCCTTACCTTCTTCGTTGGGAGGCGCTATATTCATCCTTGTAATAAGTACCTATCGTTGGAATTCAAAAATTTTCTAAGCAGCCAAACAGATAATATTAAGGGAATGAGGATGCTCTCTGGATCTTTTTGGTGAGGATTTCGGGGATTCATTGTCGTGTCTGTTCATCGTACATCGTGCTGCTAGTTTTCGTCAGGTACTGTTTGTGTTCAATTTTAAATGAAAAAATTTAAAATGATTTCTGATAGCATGATGTACGATAAATGGACACGATTAAAGGATTTCAGGATCCTCTTTGGCTCCTCATTCACATTAAGGAATCCTTCATGGTCCAAATTACACAAATACGTATTATAAAACAGACAACCTGTCACGCCATGATCCCGATCCCGATATATGTTCAAGATCGATACGTGACGTCACTAAATACTCGTATATCTTACATACCCCGCCTCCGGGATATGGCAAATCACAACTCGAGAATCAAATTTCGAAGTAATTTTTCGCTTACTTTATGGCTGCATCTAACCTCCTCGTTAGATTGCCTACGTACCCTCAATAGGGATTAAGTCATTCGTAGTTCACTATTCGTCAAGCTCTGGAACTTTTTGTAAAATACTTCTAACAGAACTCATAAAGTACCACACTACACATCAACCTTAACTCCAAACAACAAATATCACCTTATCATGCACGCCGGTATGCCATTCTCACACAGATGCTTTCCAATTTATCTATCATATAAATCACTTTGTTTCACATAATACCTCAATTCATAGTATGTAACATATCAAAGAACCAACGAAGCACAATATTATTCTCAAGTCACAATGATCAACTAATCTAATCATAATAATCTCAATCATACCCAACGTCATTTCGCGATCACGTCAATTAATCAATTCCATAAATCCAAGATGCACGATATTAATATCTAACTATATTAATCAATTAATGAAACAACATATAATTTCCCGAATTTAATTAAGAAATTCTATGTAATTCCCTACTTGGATTATGAGTAATACACATGGTACTTCTAATTTATATTCACAAGGTCTATTGGGGGTAATTCTCATTCATAAAAATCTAGGGTTCTAGACTAACCTTATGAAAATGAGCAAAAACAAAGATTCCAGACCACTCAACGGAACTGAAATACCAAGCTACTTCTCGTTATCTATCCATACCTGTCATAAGTAAAATCAATGCCTACATCATGGAGATAACACACTGGGCAAATCAGACACTCGGGTAAGCTACGAAGCTAGAGTGAGTGACAATAATACAAGTATGTGATATTCAATTAAAACAGACCATCGATCATAATCTATAAACATCCAGTATAGAATCATGCTTTATGGAATCATCATCAAGTCATTGGAAACTCCGAATGAGTCACCCAGATATCCAACAGTTTTTCTAATTCAAATCACAAGATTCTCAAAAACCATCGATCATACGCACATTAAAAACTAGGGCTAGATGGACCCAGTTCGGCCGAAGCCTACATAAGTAACCAAAGAGGAAGTGGCCCCCCAAAGCGGATTAACCAAGCAACGCCACCCTTAAGAAAGTAACCAAGTAGGTAGTGACCCCCCAATGCGGATTAACCAAGCAGAGTCACTCCTACATCTGTTAAGAAATGATCACCTAATGCAGATTAACCAATCATGATCACTCCTAAGCATACATAGCCTTAAACAGTGTTTGAAATGCCGATATTATCGACGATATTTCGCCGATAATGTCAGTTTTGTGAGAGAGGGATATTTTAACACTTATCCAATGATTTTTCGTCAAATTATCGCGATATTATCGATAATATCACGATATAACCGATAATATCGTGAAATTTTGAACTGGTGCAATCGGAGAAGAACGCCGGAGCTTCTATAGCTCCGACCGACTGTAAAAGAGCACCCTAGACTCCGATCTAAGTATAAAAATGAAATACAAGAGGAGAGGAATGTTTTTATAACTTCCGTTTGCCGTGAAACGGTCGGAGGTGTTCGGAAAGTTCCTCGACCCTCACGGCCTCGCTGGAGCTGGGTGTTCCTTCCCCCGGGTCGATCTCCTTCTAAAACCTTGTTAAAAAAACCAGATAAAACTTAGTATATCTCGATTCTCAACCACACCACATAACATGCAAGATGAATTGAGGGCTTACCTAACCAGAAAAGGATCAAGAGAACTCGCCGGAGAGTTCTTGGGTTCGCCGACGAGGCGGAAGACGCGGATGAGGAGGAAGGCGAGGGAGGAGGAGAAGGCCATGTGGGAGAAGGATCGAGAGACTGAGGTCTCTGTGCGTGTGTGTGGGAGAAGGGAGAAGAGAGAAGGATCGAGACTTCGAGAGATCTGTGAGATCTGTGTGTGTGTTTGTGGGAAAAGGAGAGGGAGAAGAGAGAAGGATCTAGAGACGACTGACGTCTCTGTGTGCGTGTGTTGTGCGTGTGTGGATCTCTGTGTGTGCGTGTGTGTGTAGGTGGTGTGAGAAAAGAAAAGCATCTAAATAATTCAACTTTTACAGCTTTTAGGAATTGTACAATTTTTTACAAGACAAAAATAATGGTGGTTTCATGCATCAAGATTCAAAATCGTGTGCCACACGTGATATTCTTTCACATTCTCAGAGGTGGAGTATCAGATGATCACACATTTTTTGACCATGGACAAAAATAATGGTGGTTTTATTCAAAATCATCTAAATAATTCAAAACCCAGACAACTTTTACAATTACAACTTGTACAATTTTAGACCATGGACAAAAATAATGGTGGAGTATCAGACCATGGACAACTTTTACAATTTCAGACCATTCAAAACCGTGTGCCACTATGTTATTCTATCACATTCTCAGAGGTGGAGTATCAGATCATCACACATTTTTTGACCTTTCGAAAATTAAAACCTCTATTACACCTTTTCGTTTCTTTTTCTTCCCTTACCCCTTTCAAAGCCATTCCAGATCCATTCTAGACCTTCAACACAAAAGGTTTCATATTTAAGGCAAGTTTGCGAACTTATATTTATATTATTGTAATTTATACTTGCATGTTCATTTTTTGAAGTAATTAAGTAATGTTGTATAATTATTCCCTAGAATAATTTTAATATGTTTAATGTTATTTATTATTTTATTATCAAATTGGATTATTATTCATTAATATTAGGTTTATTATTCCATATTATTTTTATAATTACTTAAATTCTTACAATCATTTTCTTGACTTCCTATTTAATTCTTCTATAGAATAACTTTACTTCCTATTTTCTTTACTTCTTATTTAATATGTTTCCGTCACTATATTTTTTGGCAAAAAAATAATTGCCTAATTTTCATGAAAAATAAATATAGGTACGTTTAAGATGTCCAGTGGAGTTACTAAACGTGATCCAGTTTGGGAACATGGAGACCCAATAGACGGAAACAAACATGGCACAATTTGCAAATATTGTGGTCGGGTAATGAAGAGTGGCGGAGTGACACGACTTAAGTACCATCTTAGTGGATTAGATCTAGCACATAATGTCCAACGATGCGATAGTGTCCCCCCCAGAAGTGAAGGCATTCATCACCACATTATTAAAAAATAAAAAACAGCAGAAGGAAAAGATAACACATGGAATGGAAAATATTCGAGCTGGGCTACGAGGAGAAGTCATTGGCCAAGCGGTTGACAGTGATGATGATGACGATGAGGATGAATGTGATGATGACATGAGACTTGAAGAACGACGCCGTTTGAAACAAGCATTATGTACCTCCAAACAGTTAGCATGGGAAAGAGAACACCTTCATAAAATTCCTAATAGAGCACAAGGTTCCGAGACAAGTGGTGGTGCACAAATGAGATGGGGAGCAAGTGTTAGAGAATCACAACCAACACCACCAATAGCCCAAAGTTTATATAAGTCATCCAAAGCACGTCAAAAGAGTGTTTGGAGTTATTTCACTGGAGGTAATGTGAAAGAGGGAATGGGGCGTCTAATTAGCAAGTTCTTTATCTATGAAAATGTCCCTGCTGAGAAGGCATTATCACATCATTTCAAAAATATGGTATTGGGATGTCAACATGCCGGTGTTGGAGTACAACCTCCCACTCCCTATGAGGTAAGAAACAAATATTTGGATATGGAGTATAAAGACATTGGCGAGTATGTTAACAAGTTGAGGTCAAAGTGGGAAACTAATGGTTGCACAATCATGTGTGACGGATGGACTGGCTCGACTAGATTGTCTATCATAAACTTCATGGTATACTCCAAGGGAAGGACAATTTTTTTGAAGTCTGTTGATGCTTCAGACCATATAAAGAACTACAAGTATATTTACAAATTATTGAGGGATGTAATCATGGAGGTGGGAGAGCATAATGCTGTCCAAGTTGTGACCGACAACGGTTCTGCATTTGTCAAAGCTGGAAAAAAGTTAATGAAACATCATAATGTGTTTTGGACATCATGTGCCGCTCATTGTATTGATCTCATGTTTGAGGCAATGGGGAAGAGAAAAAATGTTGCTTCTATGGTAAAAAGAGCTAGAACGATCACAAATTATATTTACAATCACAGTTGGTTGTTGGCAAAGATGCGTGGATTTTGCAAAGGAGAAATTATTTGTACATCTACCACTCGATTCGCCACCAACTATATTGCATTAGACAACCTACTTAAGAAGAAAGCAGGGTTGAAGCAATTATTCACTTGTGACGATTGGGCCAACCACAATTTTAGCCGCTCAAATGCAGGTCGTATGGTGGAAAGTATAGTGTTTGATCATGCTTTTTGGACTCAATCAGAACATGTGCGCCAAGTGTTTGAACCTCTTTACAAAGTTTTACGGATCGTTGACACATAAGTGTATCCTACTATGGGGGCAATATATGAGTTGATGCGTGTAGTGAAGGATGACTTGGAAAGAAATCATGGTGCAAGGTGGGTCATAAGGATAATTGATGACCGATGGTATAAAACATTATACCACGATTTGCATGCAGCAGGTATAAATTATGTCATAATTTGCAATTCATTTCTTTAGTTGCATAAGTATTATTTCTCTTATTAGAGTATGTGTTTCTTTGAACAACATATTATTTGAATCCTCGATACCAATACAGACCCGGTGTTGGAGATGATGGTACCCTTATATGTGTTGTACATAATGTATACTCTAAATTAAACCCTGCATCACCAGCAGTTAGCCAATTTGGAAATGAGGTACACAATTACTTAAATTATAATAATTACATTGTTGGGTTAAACTAACACGATTTATTGAATTCAGCTAACATGGTTTAAAGATGCAAGAAGAACTTTTGGAGAATCAACATCAGTTGCTGCTCGAACAAAAATGTCTCCTAGTGAGTGTAAACATATTTCACTATTATAATAGAATTTGTTGGAGTTATTAGGCTTATCAACATTGTTTTTCATTATAGCTGAATGGTGGATCATGTATGGGACTAATGCACCAACTGTGAGAAAGTTAGCAATCAAAGTATTATCACAAACAACTTCCTTATCTACTTATAAAACAAATTGGAGTACATTTGCACTCATACACACAAAGCAAAGAAATAGGTTGGCTCATAGTCGGTTGGAAAAATTAGTTTATTGCTACTACAACATGAAGCTTCAAATTTGAGATAAGGAAGCAGAAATAGATCATGTCGACCGTGGTGACCCACTAGATGTGTTTGATATTGTTGCTGAAGATGATGATACAGAGGCTAACCAACTTTATCAATGAATTAGACCTCTTCATTTAGATGATGATGAAGGCAACCCAGCTCCCAAAGTTGCTGAAGAAGCACGTAATGAAGGGATAAATGTAGAAAGAGTATTAGAGGAGGAGGTGTGATCTAGCAGCGCTGACTCTTTCGAAGAACTTTTGCGCCCAAGACCAAGAAACACTGGAATTCCACATTCTTCCAATCCTACACAACCACAAGATCATGCTGATACTAATGATAGCTCTACTACAAGATCAAGAGACTCATCTACCACCGGAGGTGGAGCTGGAGGTAGTGGTGGATATGGAAACTATGTTGGACCACCTCCCGGATTTATGAGCCCCTTCACTGGTGAGGCAAACTTCACGCATGCAACACAGGATGAGGACCATGGCAGTAGGCGGGTAGGACCAGGAATTGGTGCCATAGGGAAGGACTATACTCGTAGAGAAAGAGGCAAGGGGATTTTGTCAAGTTAAGAAGATGACTTGTTATCTATAACTTCGGACTCTGTTGGAGTGAGAAGTAGTAACTATGGTTATACTCATAACCAACCATTTCCCTACCTTTCATATCCCATTCCTGTTGGGATGGAAACGAGCGACTCATGGAAAGAATCCGAGACTCAATCTTCAAATGATTTTGCTTATGGACAACGTCAACCAATCTCGGATCCATATGGGTGGCATGTTAACAATTACATGAAAAACTATTTTGGGGATTTATCATTTGATAACTACTCTTCACAATACACTTACTCTACACATAGAGATGATGAAGATAGTGAAAATTTTGAACCTCATAGGAACTCTATGTGGTACTAAGTCACTCATGTATCTTACCATGCAATGTATAAAGTGTAAAATATTGTACTAATTCATTATATATAAATGATTATGGTGTTTTTAAACTTCTTTCATTAATTACTACATATTTTCTACACTTACAATGTTTGCCAGCTCGCTATATAATCAACTTAAATAAGTTAAATCCATCATGCAACGCATTTCCTTCCAATTTTTGTGATAAACTAATAGATAATTGACTAAATAAACATAATGCAAAGTTTCAATAAAAATTTCCAAGTTTTTCTTACAATTTCTGTGGTTTCCATATTATTTTTATCAATATCGATAATATCCCGATATTTCCATTGATATTTCCATGTTTTTGGACTACCGATATTTTTGATATCATTGATATTTTATACCTTGGCCATAAGGATTGCCCAACGCGGATTAACCAAGCACGATCCATATATAGTACGGTCCCCCAATGCGGATTAACCAAGCAGGACCACTAATGAAACCCAAGCTAGATACGATTACGGACCATCACTCAACAAAATCGCGGAGTAGGAGGGATTTCGGACCATCTCTCAATGGAATCTGAGTGGATACGATTCCGGACCACCACTCAACGAAATTGCGGAAGGCCAACAACCATATATACAACGGCTCAAAGAAATGAGACAAGTACAAGTTACCTAATTTACAAAAGCTCAACCAAGGGAAATAAGGCACAAATACTAAATTTAGAACGAATCAACGAAGCGGAAGATGAAACCATATTGAATCAACAAATCCCCATCACCACGGGTTAACGGTCTACCACTAGTCCTCACATTTCATCACAACATGGCAATCAAACCAATCAAACCATATTTCAATATTTACATGTCAAATCTCATTTCATAAACTTAATTCAATGGCTAAGCATTAAAAATAACAATTCCATAGAAAACATATTTATAAAACCAAGTCATATCCACATAGGATAACAATTATGAAAACAGGGTAATCACCAATATCACCTATATTAAAGTCACTCACCTGAGGTCCACACTAACGCACTCTAGCATGGAATTCAAGACATCAAGCTTTATCACCGCCAAAAATAAAGCACAAGTCCACATTTAGATTCTCTCGATAAATTCACATACCCAAAACTCTCATAAGTCTCCCACAATGACATTTAATGAGAATCAAACCGTCAATCAAAGGTATGGTCCATGATCTTACATCACTTGCTCCGTAAGATCCCCAACCACTAGATTTTCACTAGTAAGTTCCTAAGGTCCTTAAACAATATCTATAATAGCATACTAAAAATTTGGTGTTAATTCAATGTTAAGATCGTCAATTGCTAGAATATTCAAGTGGCGGACCTTATCGAAACTATACTCAACCAAAAGCACACAAATACATATTGCATATTTCCGTATCCGTGTCCATACATCGTAGATAGAGGCTCACTTGTAAAAAACTTTCGAATAGTTGAAATATAATTCTAGATTTATAAAAAATTCATAACACAATTAATGACTTTTTATTTTTTGAACAAACAATATTATCCACCCCAATGAAAGAGGTGGGATTAGGCTCACAATGGACTAACAATAATGTGATCCAAATTTATTTTTTGACGAGAACCAAACCTAAGACCTCTTACTGAAGAGGAATACCGGCAATTAATGACATTATTATCTGAATGCGGATCCTCTCTGGATCTTCTTTGTGAGGGTATTGGGGATTCTCGTATTGTATCCGTTTATCGTACATCCTGCGATTAGAAATCATTTTAAATATTTTTATTTAAAATTAACATGAACAATACTTGACGAAAACTGATCGCACGATGTACAATGAACGGACACGATTTGAGGATCTAGACAGGATTCGGAGAGAGGATCCTCATTCTCATTATCTCTTCACAAAACTAAATATATATATATCAAGCCTAATCAACATTCTTTCTCTCCACAAATACACACACCCTCTCCCTTAAAACAGAAATCACCAAATCTGCAGACTATAATGCAGCATTTGACTACGTATTTAACTAACACGTACCCAATCACAATCGGATTTCTCAACATTTGCCTATAAATTAAACCACTCCGACGATTTGAAGCTTTAAACCAAAAACTAAACATTCGATTAACGGCGAAACCAGAGTGTGTATCTGTGTTGCTCCTCCGAACTCCCCCTCAGGTATCTCTCTCTCTACCGTCCATGTAAGTGGAATTCATTTTATTATCGAGGTATCGACAATGTAGTCAGTAAATGCGATATCAGTAAATGCATGTTAGCGTAGCCAAGTCCGTAATTTTCTACGTTCATTCTAAATTTGCATGGTTGAAATAACAAAAAATAATTAATATGGTGTTTGTTCTTGTGATGGTAGAGGAAGGATATATCGATATAGAGACAGTGTGTAATGGCGGCGGGTAGGGTGCCGCATCCGCCACTGAAAGGGCCGAACCTGGTGAAGGAGATAGCAATGGGAATTGCGGTGGCGATGGTGGCGGCGATGCCGTGGAAAATGTACCAATGGGATTTGCAGAAGAGGACCAGGACTATGTATGAGTTGCTCGACAAAGGTGAAGCAACTGTTGTTGCTCAAGAATAATATGTATATCCTCCATCCTTCAAAAAAATAAATGAATAACAAGAAGCTAGGTTTTTGACAAATTCCCCCCTGAATTTTTCGGTTTTTCCCACTATGAGCACTAAATTGTTTTCGTCGCAAATTGGTCCTTTTAATTTTGCACGTCTCTTTTCATTTAAAGTCGACTTACATCCAACAAAATTGGAACGAGTGTGCCCGACTTATGTTAATTTACAAGTCGGGCACACTTGCTCCTATTTTTAATGTATTTTTGCTCAAAGCATATGAGTTACATTCCCAACTAACCAATTTTCTCATGTCAATTGCCTTTTAAGGTTACATCCTGCACAGAAACATAATTTCGGAAATTTGAAAATTGTGAAATGTAGAAAGTGAGGGCAATTTAAATGAGGCTAATGTGTGTTATGCTTCAGGAAAAATAGTTGAGAGAGAGACCAAAGTCGATAATTTTGTAAGTTCAAGGGGCAAATTTGTGCAACTTGAAAGGTAGAACATGAATTACTCATGAAGGAAACTTATCTCTTCTGAACCTCACAAATGATAGTTTCGGAACAGATAAGTTCAAGTTTAATCCCTCTTAATCCCCTCGAAGGAAAATTCTTTCACCTCATGTACATACAGATATACATATCTCAAATTATTTGAAGGAAAATTCATTTATTTCACAAGAACTTAAAAAAATAGCCATAAACATAGCATATCTCAGAAAACTTGCCAATGTAACTATATAAGAACATAAAAAAAAATAAAAAATCATTAGGTGAACCGTGGACGGATCAAAAAGGAGCGGTTATAAGTTTTAGGATTATCTTCATTTATCGCTTGAAACTAACAGAAGACTTGACGTAAAATCGAGCGCTATGGCATTCTAGGATCATATAGCCGACCCCACTTAAGGAAATACGGCTTTGTCCTCGTTGTTTTTCTAAGTGGATGAAAAAAAGAATGGGTAAAAAACAAAAAGAAACCAGTTCATTCCAGTACCACAGTAGCACCCAATTCCTTAAGCTTGTCAACAATGGGCCCTGCCTCCTCTTTCGTCATGCCCTTCTTCACCACAACAGGGACCTTCTCCACCAACTCCTTCGCCTCCTTCAGCCCCAAGTCCGTGAAAGTCCTAACCTCCTTTATGATCTTGATCTTTGCCGCTGCATCGAACTTCTCTATCTTTATATCAAATGCAGTCTTCTCAGCTACCTTGTGTCACGGGCCGCATGTTAAAAACAAAGAAAATGCCCAAGACATCATATATCTAAGCCCATGAAGCCATGTCTTCATGGAAGCTTCTGGAACGTCCCGGAGAAATCAAGAACGTGGCGGAGCATCCAAGAATTGTAAGCAATTGTAAAGTTCTCCTAAGTTTCAATACAAAGCTTCCTTTCTCCCATCTTCTAAGTGATTCTAGCATTCTCCAAGCTATCTTAGCTTTCTTTGTGATTCGATCCGGGGAAGCGAGGCTTCGAAGGCTTACTTAGCTTGTTCATCGAGGTATTCAAGTCTAAGTGCCGCACGGGCGGAAGGCTTAAAGAGTCATCCCGTGACAGCTGGTATCAGAGCCAAGCTCGTGAATCACTTGAAGGAAAGTAGGATATGGCAAGTGGAGAGACGGTGTCCGGAGTCTCCGAGCTAAGGGAGCGTGCTGCCGAGGTCCAAGACGTTGCCAAGAGCAAGCCAAAGTTAAAGGACTTGCAAGCATCGATGGAGACCATGGAAGAGCGACTCGAGAAGGTGGAACGAACCATACTCGAGTTCGATACTCGACTTGATGAGGACGTTGTCGACAAGGAGGAAATCCAAACCATGGTGGACAATGGTAAGGATGAACTGCGTGGCTTGGTGGAAGGGCTACGAGATGAGCTCCTTGGCGCCCTCAACACCATGGCAGACAAGATGCGGAGGGAAGTCCAGGTTCACCTTGACAACATAGAGGCAAGGTTTGTGGCACTTCAAGAAGAAATAAAGGACACAAGGGAACTCAAGGGAGATGTGGCGTTTTGTAAAGAAGCAGTCGTGAAGCAATTCGTGCAAGGGTCGAGGGAAATCAAGGCGTTGGACTCCAAGGTAATCGACTCCTTTAAACCCAAATCCTATAATGGGAAGAGGGAAGCAAAGGAGCTCGACACATTCGTGTGGAACGTGGAGCGATACTTCGAGTACCTAAAGCTTGAAGATGACGAGTCCAAAATCTCAACGGCAACCATGTTCTTAGCTGACAATGCCCTTATGTGGTGGCGTCGTCGGAGCATGGAGATTGAGCAAGGTACGTTTTCTCTCACCACTTGGGATGAATTTAAGAAAGATCTTATGTTGCACTTCTATCCCCAAAATGCCAAGTACGAAGCCAAGGAGAAACTAAGGTGGCTCAAGCAAACGGGGAGTGTCAAAGACTATGTCAACACCTTTGTGAGTTTGTTGTTCGAGGTGCCCAACATGTTAGAGGAAGACAAGCTCATGTACTTCATGAGTGGACTGCAAAATTGGGCAAAACTCGAACTACAAAGGAGACACGTGCAAACATTGTCTGATGCCATTGCCGCTGCCGAATCCTTGATTGAGTTTAAATCAAGCCACCAAGGTGATTCCAAGTCCACGGGGAAGAGGGGTAACCATGAGAAAAGTGGGGGAGAACACAAGCCGAAGGACAAGGCCGAGACAAGCAAACCGAAGGAAAAGAAAGCCGATAAGCATGACAAAGGCAAAGGTAAGTCTTGGCAACCCACTTGTTACCTATGCGATGGCCCTCACATGATGCGAGATTGCCCACAAAAGAAGGCCCTTAAGGCTATGGCCTTCAAGGAGGACAAGGCCGAGGAGAGTAACGATGCAACGATGGGATGCATCAGTCTACTGAATGCCATCCAGACAACCCTCCCACAACCTAAGGCTCAAGTTGGGGGAGGATCATTGTTCGTCGACGTCAAGACTGGTGACAAGACGACGCGTGTGTTGGTGGACACGGGAGCAACACACAACTTCATGACGTCGGAGGAAGCCACAAGGCTGGGCCTCCGAGTCACAAAGGAGCCTGGTAGCGTGAAGACGGTAAATTCCGCTGCCACCCCCATTGTTGGAGTTGCGCGTAATGTGCACGTAGACATTGGCACATGGAAGGGAACGATCGACTTCACCGTAGTCAAGATGGACGACTATGGCGTAGTCATTGGGTTAGAGTTCATGGACAAGGTACGAGCCTTTCCCATTCCCTTCTACAATATTTTCTGTATCCTAGCCGACGGAAGACAACCTTGCCTGGTGCCATTGGAAAGGCAAGCCAAGAAGTGTACCCAGCACTTGTCGGCAATTCAATTTGCCAAGTCTTGGAAGAAAGGCGAGGCCACATTTCTTGCAACCCTAATGTTGAATGAAGGGGAGGAGAAGCACGGGCCTTTGCCGAAACAAGTGGAAGACGTCCTTGTGGAGTTTGCGGACGTGATGCCTAAGGAACTGCCAAAGAAGTTGCCACCAAGGAGAGAGGTCGACCATGCGATTGAGTTGGAGCCTGGTGCTAAGCCTCCCTCCAAATCACCTTATAGGATGTCGCCACCCGAGTTGGAGGAATTGAGGAAGCAACTCAACGAGCTGCTTGATGCTGGCTACATCCAACCCTCCAAGTCCCCATATGGTGCACCCGTCTTGTTCCAACGCAAGAAAGAAGGTAGCCTAAGGTTGTGCATCGACTATAGAGCATTGAACAAGATTACGATCAAGAACAAGTACCCACTTCCGTTGATCGCCGACTTATTCGATCAACTTGGTGAAGCAAGGTACTTCACAAAGTTAGACTTCTCCACAGCTTTTCATCCCCAAACCGATGGACAAACGGAGCGGGTTAATGCATTGTTGGAGACTTATATGCGGCACTATGTTAGTGCCAATCAACGAGATTGGGCTAAGTTACTTGATGTTGCCCAAATTCTCTTATAACTTGCAACGTTCGGAGTCGACGGGGAAAAGTCCGTTCGAGTTGGCTATAGGGCAACAACCCTTGACCCCGAACACGGTCGTGATTGGCTACACGGGGAATAGTCCAGCCGCTTTCAAAACCGCTAAGGAGTGGCAATTAGCCCACGAACTTGCTCGGGCTCATTTGGAGAAGGCTTCAAAGAAGATGAAGAAATGGGCGGATCGCAAGCGAAGGAATGTGGAGTTCCAAACTGGCGACCAAGTCTTTATGAAGCTCAATGCGTCTCAGCACAAGAGTACTCGTGGCTTGCACAAGAGCTTGTTGCAGAAATATGAGGGACCATTCCCTATCATCAAGAAGGTTGGCAAAGCCGCGTATGTTGTGGAACTCCCACCCCGCCTCAAGTTTCACCCGGTGTTCCATGTGAGCAACTTGAAGCCTTATCATGCGGACGATGAGGAACCAAGTAGAGGTGAGTCTCATCGAGCACCCCCTTTGATGACGGAGGCATTTGACAAAGAAGTGGAGAGCATTGAAGCCAAGCGTGTCGTGGTGCGACCAAGACAACCAAAGCATGTGGAGTACTTTGTCAAATGGAAGGGGCTACCATACTCCGAAGCAACATGGGAGAAGGAGATGTCCTTATGGCAATATAAGGACTTGATTCAGACATTCGAGAGGCAAGAGTCGACGAGGACGTCGACGGCTTAAGTGGGGGAGGATGTCACGGGCCGCATGTTAAAAACAAAGAAAATGCCCAAGACATCATATATCTAAGCCCATGAAGCCATGTCTTCATGGAAGCTTCTGGAACGTCCCGGAGAAATCAAGAACGTGGCGGAGCATCCAAGAATTGTAAGCAATTGTAAAGTTCTCCTAAGTTTCAATACAAAGCTTCCTTTCTCCCATCTTCTAAGTGATTCTAGCATTCTCCAAGCTATCTTAGCTTTCTTTGTGATTCGATCCGGGGAAGCGAGGCTTCGAAGGCTTACTTAGCTTGTTCATCGAGGTATTCAAGTCTAAGTGCCGCACGGGCGGAAGGCTTAAAGAGTCATCCCGTGACACTTGGCAGCCGTGGAGGCCGGTCCAGATTCGGAAGATGTGGAGCCAATCCCTGAGACTGCTGGGCCATACCGGTTGAGGCCCATTTTCAGCCTAAAAAGAATGGAGTAGTCGTGCCTCTCAAGCTTTGTGAGGTCGAGGAGCTCGCCGGCAATGCGCTCAAGTTTATGTGTTTGAGTCTCATTTGCTGCAGTGGCTGTGGTGAGCTTGCGAGAAACAGTAGCAGGCAATGTGGATAGGGGCCTGCAGGGGTACTTTTGTGGTTAGGTTGGACATCCTATGAACATCCGATTTCAGAAAGAGTTCGGATAGGGACCTGGATGCAGATAATTTTGCACATCCCAACTTACCCAGATCCTTGTTGAGTTGCAGTTCTGGGAGCTGAGCATTTTACAGCCTGCCATGTATGCAAATAAAAGTATTAAAAGGAAAGCTCAAAGAGTAACAGATATTTCCAAGTCCAATCACTTTTAAGATAGTAGAAAACAGCATAATTTATGGATTCGTGGAAAACGAACAAGTTCAACAAGTTCAGGCCTAAGAAACTTTCACACTATCATCCCAAATTACACAAATACTCCAACTGGATTGGCATACAAAAAAAATGTTGCCCTAGTATATGAAAGATTCAAAACAAATGGATGATGTGCCGCATTGAAAAATGGGTCCCAAATATAAGTTAATCAAAACTAAACTTAAGAAAATGATGAGGGTTGTACCCTAGCATAGGTGGAGAAGCGTTGTACTGAGCTCGCCATTGGCAGTTAATGAATCAACATGCACCTGTGGAAGCAAAATCATCAGTAGATGTAAAACCGCAATCTAATGTGTGTCAGTTTTGTTCAAAACAAATTGTAGTTAAATAAATCCTAGCCTTTGGTTTAGTTCAAAACAGCCATATCTTTATGTTTTAGCAATAATTTGGATTTTATTAATTCAAGGGCCAAAATAAATAGGCCATACAATTTCTGAGAGCTCAACTGTTTGATAATTCATACAGGCAGATGGGGTAGCAGTATTTTGGTTCATCTTATTGAAAATGCAAAATAAGAATGAAATAGAAAAATAATCTTAATAGAATTATGATATACATGGTTTCATATTTAAATTTGATCAAACCATGTTGAAGCATTGATCCTTTTCAAATGATTGCTGGATATACAGAAAAACAGCAGTAGTCAAACAGAACCGCTGATCAACTGGGTCAGCTAACATGCATAGAAAGAACAGCCAGACAAAGCATGAAGATCCTTCGGAAATAGTTTCCATGTCTTTAAAAATACAAACTGTTTTGCTTCTTCACAAGATCACTATTAAAGTGTGCATTGCTAACTGTAGTTATACAGTCCACTGCCCAAGCAAATGAACAGCTACGCTCTTGTTAACTTTTGATTAAGTCCAAATAACTTATTACATTTACTCTTGCAGGCTTACTGCACTTACACATGTCTTTAGGATCAACATACAGAAAAGTAACAATAAGTAAATATCAATTTAAAGATGAGAAAACTCGGATTAATTCCAAAAATTAACTGACCATGGCACGAGTCATGACAGAGAACATGAAGTACATAATCTCACTTCAGATAATGCCTAAAAGTAAGAAGATAAATATGTATGCATAGGCAGGCATACAGAAAAACAAAAAGTGTAGATGCACCAAGAACTATAAACAGAAGGGCTTACACAAAAAAGAATAACCAAAATCTACACATTGAAAAGTAAGCTCAGATGGGTTGGTTAAAAAATTATCTTTTTAGCCAAAATGGTCTCTGAGGTTGACATAACTCCTCACTTATGTCCCTAACAATTAAAATCGATAAGACTAAATTTGTCCACCGTAAACCATTTTGGTCATTCCATGAGAAATTTGTCAATATCCTCGTTAAGTGGAGGTGTTGGTTTGACAAAAATACACTTCAAAAGGTGATTACGTGGTCGTTCACGTGACAATTTAGCAAAGATATTGACAGATTTTTCACGAAAATACCAAAACGATTTACGGGGGACAAACTCAAGGGCCACTTCTATCAATTTTCATTGTCAGGAACCAAATTGAGGAGTTATGCCAATCTTAGGGACCACTTCTACCAATTTTCATTCTCAGGACTAAATTGATAAGTTATGCCAATCTCTTGGACCATTTTGGCTAAAATGCTTAAAAATTTTAAAGCCCTTGAGGAAATGCCCTTAAGTTCATTTTTACGCTCTTCTACAAACATCAGACTCTAACGAGATGAGGCTACTGACTGACTCTAATCAGGTCACTAATAACAAGATCTACATTGCAGGATTACATACAGAAGAAAACTATACTATTGCAGAGGTTGACAACTGTGGTATAAAATCAAACCCAGCAACCAATCATCAACAGCGAAAAAAGAAACAAAACCCAGGAGCACATAATAGAGAAAAAACATAAGGAGGTACCCGAATTGGAGAAAAAAGAAGTATGTATGATTGCCTACATAATAAAGCAAAAAAACTGTCAAGAAATATTTGGGAGAATCCTTTTCTTCTCTGACCCTTGATTTGCTTTGGAAAAAAAAAGTGGAAAGCTAGTAACTTTGGTGCAATGTTAAATCCCTCAATCCTTCTCTTTATCTAAATCCATGCCAAAATACAGACCCTCTCAAGGAATCTAATTTCTGTATAATTCAAGCATAAAACGTATCGAAAATTGTATAATTCAAGGTGTGTCAAAATGCCACTCCCCACCTCCCTCCCTCTACAAATTTCTCTGAACTAAAGCTTGCACTTTCATGGAGCACCCCAAAAAATCCCCAATCTGTATGACAAACGATTAGGCATTACCCAAAATTCCGGTTTAAGTTGACTAGATTGGAACCAGAGACATCGACACAATTTACAATCCTGAGAAGAACACATATTAGCATTGAATGAGAAGAGAAAACTTACCCTGTTGAAATCTTAAGCAGTGGAGTGAGCTTCCAGTGGCCGATTTGGGGCTGTCAGATACACCGAAGAAAGTTTATTTCTTCGCGTTCAGGGTTTTCGGAAGTTGTGATTTCAGTCCTTTAGTTTTATGAAAATTCTTCTTTGGGTTATTATACAAAATAGTTTTAGAGGTTCGCATGATCAATAGAAATAATTTATGAGATTAAAAATCAATAAAAATGGTTTTTGAGATTGTCCACAATCCATCATTTTGATTATTCCGTTAAAAACGCTATGGGCAATTTTCAAATCTTGCTAACTCAATCGTTTATTAATTAAATTCGATCCATAATATATCAGAATGAAGATAGGAAAGTGTAGAATAAAATAACTATTTGGAAGCTCAATGATTGCCGGAGATGGCTGAAAAATAGCCTGAAATGTAATTGATCAGCGGGAAAACTGGAAAACTTACTGGAAACTAGGTAAACTTTAAACGTTCATAACTTGTTTTTAACGGAAAGACCAAAATCATGAATGGTGGACAATCTCAGGGACCATTTCTATTGATTTTCAATCTCAAAGACCATTTCTATTGATTATGCAAATCTTAAGGACTATTTTGTATAATAACCCTTCTTCTTTAGTACCAATAATTTCAATTGTCGCAGGTAAACCCCTATAATTTACTTTTAATAGCTTTATATAATTATAAAAAGGGAACTTCAACGAAAAGTTTTCGATACTGTTTACTTTAACGAAAAATCACATTTTATACTAAAAAGTCAATCCTGGTACTATTTACTTTGCCCTTTGTTTTGTTTTTATCGTTAAAACTCAAAGTTTTCAAACAATTTTCATTATTTTTCCTTTATAAAAAATAATAGCTTATTAACTTTTCTACGTTTTAGGGGCTCTACGTCAGCACACTGACTTAATATTTAACGGTTTTAGGATTTTTTTTTGTTGTTGTCAAATTTAGGATTTTTTTTAATTAGTATTAGAGTGTAGTTTTATTTTTTAAGTGAGGTCTTATATTTAAATCTCACTAATTATTATAGCTGATCTATTGTATGGTTTAACTTAAGTCTTTATAATTATAAATTTTTTGTATACAAATAAAACTGATTCTAGAAACAAACTCAACACAAATATAATACGTCTTTATCATTTATATAAGTAGGATACATTCCACGTACAAGTGAAAAAATAATAAAATACGAGATAATTAGAGAAATGGTCTATGAACTTTAACTCAAATAAAATTGTTTCTGAACCAAAAATTTGTAAATAATTAGTCTGTAAACTTATTATAATGTAAAACTGAGAGAAATGGGTAAAAAGACCAATACTTCGTATTATAATGTAAACTTTTCATTCACTTTTTATCTTTTTAAACCCTTTATTTTACATAAAAAATCTAACGAAATTAGGGGAAAAAAAAAAAAAAAACCAATACTTCATATCATAACAAATTAAAGGCTAATAATTACAAATTTTTAGTTTAGAAACCAAAACTCATGAGCAAATTTGAAGAATTGCTCAAATGGGTAAAAACAAAAAGGAAAAGGATTTTCGCCGGATTCTTTTCTTAGTGATTCCGTAATCTCACCTATTAATCGTACATCGTGTAATCAGAAATTATTTTAAAATTTAAAATTTAAAATTAAATATTAATAGTACCTAACAAATACATGATATACGATGAATCGGTGACATCACAAGATCCCATGAAAAGGATCCCCGCCAGATCATCTTCCAAACAAAACAACCGAAAACCCTGCTCTTTTCTGAGGGCGCCCTCTGCGTTGGCAGCTGGGGAACAAAGGATGGCCAACATGGGAGAAGAGGTGAAATTAGCCCAAGAAAGTTGATTTTACATGGCAAATTAAGCCAAAGGGGAAGGAATTATGTGTCAATTCCAATTTCTTGAGCTATTTTACTGCAAATTGTGGCCCTTTCCATCTCCTCTCCTCTCCAGTGAGAAATCGGATTTGGATTTCTGTGCGCAGTGCAGTTCTACTCTCTTCGTTTTGGCGAGTATATTTCTCAGTGTACTGATTGCTCTATGATCTATGATAAACTGGAAGTGAAATATTAAATTTGCTTTTTAAAATGCTCTTATTTTACAACAACACAAAAGTTTTAGGGCTCTTTTAAAAGAAATGATAGAAAGCGCTCTAGAAAAAATATTTTTAGGTTTTAAAAACCTTGAATCACTAGTTAAGTGCTTTTGCAAGAAGCGTTTTAACTGCTTTTCATTTACTTTATTTTTATGAAGGATTGGTTCCAAAACGATTTTCATAAAAATATTTTTGACTATTTTAAAAGTACTTTCAAACGAGTCCTTATTCATACTAAGTGGGGTCAGCTATGAATCTTTTTTTATTAGTGATTGATTTATGAAAAAAAAATTCACCAAAACACTTTCAGCTATTCTAAAAGTATTGCCAATAAACTCTTATTTCCACTAAGTGAAGTCGGATATGAATCATAGAACGCTACTGTGCTCAGTTTTGCATAATAGTCTTTGATCAAGTCTCTCTTTTCTTTATCGTTTGTATTTGTACAGCAGGTTACCATTGGGGGAAGGAGCAAATCTCTGTAGCTCATCCAAAAATGTTGCTTACAGGTATGAATTCTGATTAGTTTTAAGACATCATGCGGTCTATATATAATCCTACGTACTGCATCTTTATACTTGTGTATATGGACTTATGTCATGGTCTTGTCGATATTCATTCATACATAGAATAGAATTCCTTGTTAAGACTAGTAACTTCTGATACATATGTGTTTGAGTAGAATTAATTTTTTTCTTAACGTAGTGACGTAGCGTAGGCGAATCTAATATTGGAAAGGAAAAAACGAGAGTTTGTCCTAAATATTAAATAAAGTTATTAAAGTGCACTGGTTAAGATTCAAAGTTTTAGATATTAGTTTTTCTTAAATTTTATGCTAGAAAATGTCAATGGTCATGAATTGTAAACAAAGAAAACTCAGAGTAGCCATGTTATACATGATCTGACCCTCCAACAAGCTTTGGTCCCCCAAAACTTGCATGATTTTTCTTGATACCTTTATTTCTGTGTAAATATGGAATCCAAGCAAAAAGCATCATAACATGGAGATCATTGTGGTCTCCAAAACCCTCCCCTCCCCCCTAGTTGACAACTAAAGCTAGTTATACATTTACTTGTCCTTTTGCGTGATCATGAAGACGTTTCCTATCTCTTTAATATTTTTACCCCTTTGCTTTTTTTCTTCTTAATTCGGGCAATAAATTTCGAATGTTGTTACGCTTACTCGGCTGTTATATTTTTTTACTCATTTTATTTTGACTAATTAATGGGTGAGAAAATATGGCAAATAAATAGATGTAATAACAGTTATGATTCTCGGAAAAATAGAAAAAGTCGGTGTGCATGGTAGCACCCTAATTTTTTTCATGAAAGCATGTCAAAAGAAAGTGGACTCTCGTAGCCCCCACAAGCCTCAAAAATATGAGTTTGCTTAACAAGTAAGAGGGAAGAACAAGAAGGGGATTGTTTTTCCTTCTTATGATGCTTAATTGGAAGAACTCAGTTACCAGTTGCTGGAGTGTTCTATGATAATTAATTAAAATCAAAAGTTAAAAGCAAAAATTAACTAGCTAGCTTGACTGGACTACAGTGTGATTATTTAGGTAGAAATCCACAATCATGGCTTTTGAAGGCCCGCAATTTTCTGTTAAACTTTGACAAATCTCAAATTCCTTAATTAATCAATCTAAATTATGCTAGAAGCACATTGGCTATGATTCTAAGATTAAAACACTAATATGTGGTTCAACATCTTAGTAAATCTGGTATTAAATTTTCACCCAAGTGTCCTGGGTTCGAAACTTTTCTCGTCTTCTAAATTATTGTAATAATTTCGAACATTCGACTCTCTCCTTAATAATAGTAAGAAAAAAAAGATGGAAACACTAATTGGACTTCCTAGGCAGGTCTGTAGGCTTAGTTAGGATTTTGTTCATATTATCTATTCTAAAATTAAGGAGGAATTGACTATTCATTCAGCTTCAGTCAATTGTTTGCCCCTTGATTTCATCTCATTTACAATAAAACCATGAGATTTGGGCTGGGTTTGAAGGGTATTTATTAGAACTTAGAAGGGTAATTTTGTTCGCAGGGTTTAGGAAGGATTACCCCTTGATTTCACCTTATTTACAAGAAACCCATCAGATTTGGGGTGGGTTGGAAGGGCAATTTTGTCCTCTCGGTTTTGAGCGAATTCGGGGGTTGCCGTGTAGGTTATCATTTGTTGTCCTTCAATGAGGGTTTCGGGGGGATGGAGGCTCAGAGAGAGAGAGAGAGAGAGAGAGAGAGAGAGAGAGAGAGAGAGAGAGAGAGAGAGAGAGAGAGAGAGAGAGAGAGAGAGAGAGAGAGAGAGAGAGAGAGAGAGAGAGAGAGAGAGAGAGAGAGAGAGAGAGAGAGAGAGAGAGAGAGAGAGAGAGAGAGAGAGAGAGAGAGAGAGAGAGAGAGAGAGAGATGGCGATGGAAAGAGAGCGAGGGGGAGGGGTATGGGTGATGGATTTCATCTCAGTATCAAACCGGAAATCCTTCATATTCCAATGGTAATTCTGGAGGGTTTAACAATGGTGGAAACAACTACAATTCTGAAGGGTATAATAATGCTGGCAATAACTATAACTCTGGAGGATATGGTGGCTCTAATTTTAGAGGTAGAACTAGAGGCAAGAATAATTTTGGGAATTCAAGTTTCCCTCGGAACAATTTTAACAATAGTCCTGATACTCTTGGACCTGTAAGACCTTATGTTTCTACATACTCTGAGCATGGTAATGGTGTGCCAACTTGTTAGATCTGCAACAAGAAAGGTCATATTGCTTCCGATTGCTTTCAAAGACACTCTCCTACAACAGTTTCATCTTCACCTATGCAATGCCAAATTTGCTGGACATTTGGGCATTCAGCAATTCAATGCTACCACATGGCTAATTTTTCATATCAAGGCAGGTTACCACCATCGAATCTCTCTGCAATGAATGCCAATTATCAACCTTCTGCCCCACATGAGCAATTTTGGGTAGCTGACTCAAGAGTTACTTCTCACATGACATTATAATTGGCAAATCTCAATCTTGTAACTCCATTCACATGCAGTGATACTA